GTTTTCGACAGAATCTTATGCTCAAAAACTTGAGCGTATTTTTTCTGACTCAAAGTAGGTTCATTTGATAGAACATCCGAAACTGTATATTTCGCATCATTTTCGTATAGGTTAGACTTTTGGTTTGATCGTGAGAAAAAAAATATGGAATCTAGTACGTGTTTTACAAGGTTTTTCGAGGTTAAAGCGATTTTTTACAATGAAAATCGGCATTTGGAACACTTTAAATGTGATATTCGGAAAGCTAATACGCTTTTTAGAATAGTTAGCTGATTTTGAATGTTATCAAATATCATCTTGAGATACTAAAACCGTCTTTATTCAATTAGGTCACCAACGCCATCTTCCGGTAAAACTCAATTCTTTCGGTCAAGACTCAACTTTCGATCTGATATTCGTAAGGAGCATGAAATTCTGCATCGAATGATATATCTTTCATTGCACTTTGAGAAAAACAGTTTTTGAAAGTTCCAATAGAAGATGAAAATGTTTCAAAAAAGATGAAAGTCAATTTTCGAGTGAACCGAATACGTCATTCGATGCAGAATTTGACGCTGATTTCAAATAGATAACTTTTTTTCAAAAATATTTGGGAACGAAAAATGGTCTTATCCGCCTTCTATCAAAATATAGTTTCATACCCAGAATTAATTGTGTATCAACTGCTAGGAACTAAAATAAAAGCAAAAAAATAATAATAATAATTTACATTTTGATATTTATCAAAAAATACGTACAATTGAGAAAGCTACTGCACCCAAACCAGCATAGACTGTATATAGTATCTGAAATGAAAAAGATAGAAATAGACCATAAATCTATACAAAATTTTTTGATTTTACAAAAAATCGAAAGTCTTTGACTAGACAGTTCATTAGTGTTTCAGTCAATATTAGAAACTTACTTGAGACCGTGTGAATATGCAAACGATTCCAAAACCTAATAAAGCTATTGATACAACAAATATCACTCCAGTCTAAAATAGTCAAAAATAGTGAGAATCAATAGTAAATCTAATAGATGTTGATGTTAAGTGAAAAATATTAACAGTAATATGTCGTATCAGTTTCTTTTAGATATGAAAAAATAATCAAATAAAAACTTACACAACTTGTAAAATCATATTTTGTTTGAAATGAAAATAATGTAACAGCCAAACAAACAAATGCTGTTATTCCAACGGCAATTAAAACCGAATTAGTCGTATAAAATGCTGATATCATGCCCATCTTTAAATAAACAAACAAATATGTTTAAAAATAAACTAAATATTCTAATTTCTATACCATATATGACATGGCTATTGTCTAAAATCAAACAAAACAAATATATATTTTATTAAAAATTATCAATTTTTAAAAAATTATTTCACATACCAAGAGTGATAGTAAAAGTAAATTTAATGGATAACGTCGGCCAACACTTCGACAACATGCCAATGTTAAATATGTAACAAGAAAAACACCGCTGAAGAAATTCAAATATATAATAAGTATCATTGAAGTTTTTTCTATATATTTTAATAAATAGATGTTGTTTTAGAAGAAAAAGCATAACAATAGCAGCAGTGTGAATCATTTTATTTTATTTTTAAATTCCGACGTTTCGATTTAGTAAAAAATCATTATCAAGGATATAAAATACAAGGTCGAAATGTAGTGGGATAAATTGTATATATACATGTGTATATATACATTTTAATTGAGAAAAAAAATTTTTTCAATTAAAAGATAAAATACCAAAACATCTGCAATCTGATATTGTTTATATGGCAAAGTGTGATGATTGTGATGATAGCTATGTCGGAAAAACAGAACGACAAGGTCTGCGAAGACTTCAAGAACATGGTGCTCCTAAACAACTCTTTGATGAACTAAGCTTTCAATGGATGTATGATGAAGAGGGATCTGATGATAAGAAGGATAGTACGGACGAGATGCAAGACTCGATCGGTCCAATTAGAAGGAGAAAGAAGGTTAAAGCGGTTACACCTTACTCAACTCCACGTCGGTCGTCTCGGTTACGTGATAAACAGTTAAGAATGTCCCAGGCAACTGAAGCTATTGACACACAACTGTTTGTTCCACAATTAAACTCAACGACGACCAATAGAAATTCTACAAGTAGTGAAGATGATAAGAGAGCTAAATCGTCTTTTTTTCGATTTTTTAATAAATCGAAACGTCGGAATTTAAAAATAAAATAAAATGATTCACACTGCTGCTGTTGTTATGCTTTTTCTTCTGAAAATTCTACCTATTAGAAATAATAAAGATGTTGTTTTACTTACTAACTTGTCCAATATACCCATTGACCACCCGGTGATCGAACATAGCTTTTAATTGCTGGTCTATAATTGAAAAATTTACCAACAAAATTTTATATTTGCTCTATTTGTTACACTAAAAACACAAAACTTACGTAAAATGACATAATGCAATAAATCCAAATGTAACCAGAAGTTGAACCATAAGAATAATATAAACCTATAATATATAGTATACATTTTAGAAAATTATAAAATAGTACTTTTATTAATGAAATACCTTTCGTATAAATACACGTCGAATTTCTTTACTGTTAAGACCGCTAAAATTACCCCAATCAGCATTACCTTGTTCCACATCTAAATTAAAATAGATTGTAACATATATGTCGAATTCAATTAACACACATGACTAGCTAACGTTAGTAACACTTTTATCTATCTCACTTTTTTAAACAAATTTATTATGGATAAACCAAAAAATGGTGTACGTATGAAAATTAATCTTATCTGATAAATAGACAGAATGAAATAAAGTAAAAATATCGATCACATCTATCGTAATCATTACGATAAGGTTTTGCTCGATTTCTACACTACATTACATCTTCCATTGGCTAGTAGTGATAGATTTTTTGTAGATCAACGATAAAACATATGATAATTTCTCAAAATTTATTAAATAAAGGGATGCTAACATCTTGAAGATCAATAACAGATGATATTTTCAAGGTATTGGGAAAATTATTATTAAGTTTTCTATTTTATCAAACAAAAAACAACAACTTTTTGTTAGTATATGGCAGATTAGATTTGATATTAAAGAATTTTTCTTAATTCATATACGATTAGCAGACAGTATAGGTAACAAAAACAGTTAGAAAATAATTATTATTGTTCAACATTGCATTTAACAACAAATGCGGATTAACAATGAAGAAAAGAAGCATAAAAATTATCACAATCAAAATCCTTTTAACATTCATTCATTCTTGTTGCTGACAGCGGTTAAAATTTATAACAAGAATGTTCATACACTCTGTACTTATTCTTTTTACTCAATGGATATTTGAATAAAACTTCCATGGATTTCGTTAACATTCGTATGTCTGTGTGTATGAATGTATCAAGACAATTTTTCATTTGGCTAGACAAGTAACGAATATGTCATAAAGAATTACAGTCTCAGTATTTTCTTTCTTAGATTTGATCAAGGTTATATTTTTACCAAACAATTATTCACTCAATTTTCTCTATTTATTGCAACATCTCATGGTAAAAATGACATGAGAATTTGTACAAAATATCAAAATGGATAAAAAAAGAAACATTTTTTTTTTTCAAACGAAGTTTAACTTTTTCGAGTAGTTTCACAAGCATTAAAACGCGATTTGAGCATATTTTTGTATAGTTTTTAGTGCTCTCTTTCTCATCACATATGACAAAAGTCGTTTGAATCTAAATATTCGCTGCAAAGATTGATTTCTAGAAAAATTGGATGAGAACGGCAAAAATCTTAGACCTTTTTTGCGCGTTATAACCGAAGAATTTTTGTTTTCAATCTTAGTGATTCGACAACATAGAATACTCATTTGTCTTCAAAATAAAACAAATTCCATCTGAAATGATGATGTTTGAAATAGACTACACTTCTTTTATCGGGAAGACACAGCTGATCGGTAAAATATCCTCATTTTCAAAAAATTTAGAATAAACAAAATTGTTACACGTTCAATGCTAACTATAAAAATTTCTAATTATAGATGAAAGATAGAGCTTTTCAAAAGTAAGCTTAAAAAATATAACCATTTTTTGTATCAAAATAACGATGTTTTTCTTTGATATAAATGGCATATTCGCATTTCTCAAACTGATTGTAAGTTTACATATCTGATTATTTTTTTAACGCAATCAAGTATGTTAAAATTGTAAACGCATTGTTCTTCAAACTACGTTACTTCGAGAAAGTATAAAGGTAATGATATTATGAAAAACAAAAAACAAAGTTGAGTACCCTTTTGCAAACTCTGATACCTAACGTCATTTTTTTTTTATCAATAAAACACAGAGGGAACAATTATTTGATATTCCCATATACCAAAGATGTTTACACATAGCTTCATTGATAAGAACCCTTGTTTTTGATAATAAATACAAGAAAAAAATTAAACTGTTCTTTATTCTAAATGTGTTATTTGCGATCAGCATGATTAAATGCTTATATTTCACTATATTTGGATGTGAGAAAAAATATATTTCTAGAAGATACAACTGACATGTTTAGAGGAATTTTCTAATCATAATTATTTTTCTCTTTTTAATTGATTCTTTGACTACTGTTCGAAACTTTAACTAAAACTACGAATCTATAGTGAAATAAAAAACAAAATAACATTTCTATTTTATTATAACAAAAATCATTTCACTGATTAAAAGTATTCTCTAGAAAACTGGCTAGGCTACATGTCCATTGCCGTAATTTGAAATAAAAGATCAAGAAGTAGTTTGTTCTTTTCTAAAAAACAAAATTATATAAGACTAAAATATTCAATTAACACATGAGGAAAAAGTTAAATAGGTACATTGCACATTCCATGGCAAGTGTTTTTATAAGAGATTCAACTACAAATTACATACAATCCAAAAACTAATGAACGATCAACATTTTTTTGTTAAAATTGGGTATAGTAGGTACTAGCTTTCGTGCAAATGCATTAACAAACCATTCACACTCAGTCAATATAAAAATCAATTTTAGCTATTACAGAACATCGCACACTATACGTACCCATATATGTTTTAATATAAACATGATTTAATGCTAACGATATTTTTGTCAACTGATGAGAAGACATGTGAGACTGACGAAAGTGTAGATTATTAATTTATCATTTCAAAAAACACTTTTTTTTTCATATACTTTAATTTTTGTTTGTATTTTCTCCAAGATGAATCTTGGGAAAACAAAGCTAAAACGGTTAATATCAAAATCAAAACATTTTTGTAACAAAAAATAATCTTTCTCTCCCTTGTTCTTAGAGAAATCAAACGTAAATCAAATATAAGCAAACTTTTATGTTAATAATTATTAAAAGCTATTCTCTCAGTTAATTTTCCAGAACAATATCGCATACTTTTTGGTGGCGTTGACTCGGCAAATGGCCTTGAAACAGGCGGTACAAATGGCACTTGTGGTCCACGAACCCCTCCATACGGTCCTTGATCTGCATAAGGTGGTGGATTTTTATCTGAAATAAAAACAGAAACAAATTTAACGCAAATCAATGACGAATATTCATCGACTGCATAATCTTTCAACCATTTATTAAGTGGCTGAAGGTGAGAGAAAACAGGACAAATATACATTGAAAACAAAAGCAGTTGTAACATTTATAATCAAAACAAAAACTGAAATTAATAATTTTCTGAAAGTTCAATTAGTCTTTCTAATGTTTTCTCAAATTAGAAATATATATAATTTTTGTGAAAGAATATAGAAATGAATCAATAAACATTCTATATTCGATCAGCTGCTTATAAAGGATTTACAAAAAAGAGTATGCAGTTAAAATTGATGAATATTCGTCACTGATTTGTACTTTTAGATAACTAATATACTATCAAAAGTAATTTTTCTGCCATAAAGCACAGAGAACATATGGTTTAAAATGATAAACCAATTATTTATCAAATTACTGAAATACATTGACATTTATATTAGGTAAGCAACAAATCGAAAGCAAGTAACAAACAGCGTACCGGATGGTGGAGGATAGGGTTGTTGACTTCCATAGCCGACATGCTGTTGTGGATATCCTGTGTAACCAGCTGGTTGTTGTGAATATCCATCATAGCCACCACCTTGTTGTTGCTGTTTCGGATTAAAAAAATTTTGATTTTGTGAATCCATAGCGTTGATGAGCTAAAAGCGAAAATAATGAAAAAACTTAGGATTAGAAAGAAGAGAAAATCAAAATTGCATAAACTATACTCGTAGTGTTTAAAAAACCGAAATATATTAGTAGATGGGATAATTCGTAATTAAGTTAGATCAATAAATCTAAAATTAGAAGAATATAGAAATTCAATTGCTTCAAAACCAAAACCGATATCTGTGTTCTCGTTCTCTCTTTGGTAACCTACGTAGATGTTCATTTCAAATAAATATCTTAGTCTTAGCATGAGTTTCTACACGATTCATATCTCCTTACGTGATGGCCATACGGCTTATGAAATAGCACATTTTTATAATCGCTGTCGCGGTATAAGAGCATCAATACTCCACTCTTACTTATCATAGCTTCAATCATGTCATTCATTAAATTTGCTGTGTGACTTATTCCATAATCTGATCAAGCATTCATTTATCACTCATTGTTTTATCTGACGTTTTACATTATCATTTATATTAGACAAAACTGCCACTAAATGTATTTATTTCATTTTTCTGTTTAGTTCTCAAGCAACGGTGTAGCTGACTGGCTTCAATTCTAAATCTTCTGTTTAACTCTAACTGATTGTCTATTAAGCTTCTATGGATCCTAGTGAAAAAGTATTTAACGATTTTGTCACTAGAAACTGATCTTGGTAAACACAAGACCGATCTGAGTGAAATTTTAAAGCAACATTGATTCTACCACAGCTACGCTAAAATTTTGAAAACTCGTTTATCCTTCAGGAACTATCGGCGAAAGATGAATCAAAACGGGACTGGTCGGCTAAAAACGCAGTACAACATCTGTTATCGCCAGAAGTTGAAAGAAAGGAAATTGGCTTATCTTACAGATCGTACAATAGAGTGACTAAAAAAATTATTTAAAATATGAACTTACAAGTCATCTGTTGCTATTTCACGACAAGCTTGGCAGAAAAACTGAAACCAATCTAACAGCTTGTTTAAGTCAAGATCTGAGGATAAAAGGAAAACATTCCTTTTTGACATTGTACTGCAAATAGACTATTCCTTATTTTCTCACATACGCCAACCTTCTGGTTTTATCGTTAAACGTCTGGGCTATTTTTTCTCTGAAAAATAGAATGAATATGGGACGTATTTTGTTTTCTATGAAAAATAATCATGATAAACGTCACAAAAAAAGATTTTCAACGCTCTGGTGAACGGTTACGCAAAGATAAGGCAAATTGAACAAATAACGTCGACTTCAGTAAAATTCAAAATTGTTTTTCCATCTGTAAAATGAATAAATATTTAATTTTGTTTTTTAATTTTCACTAAAATTATTTATATTGCCATTAGATAAATGAATGAATAAATAAATAAACCCCGAACTTCCTTATAGGTAATGGAGGGGGCGCTATATGAGCACCAATAGAGAAGAGGATGAGTCATATGTAAAGCTCGAGAATGTTAAAACAACTATTTACGCATACTTCATCAGTTTTATATTATAGGTTTACTTTTAAAAGTATTTAAATAACTTAAATATTCAAGATGGTTTTAGGCTTGCAGCAGAGCGAGCAATATCTTCATATAAACTAATGACAATTAAACGAATCATTCAGATAGGCGCATGCAGTCATGATGGCCGACGGAGAACTGTGAATCTATAGATCGCTTGTGATTGGAGTTTTGTTTTTATGTTGCTGTTCGTTTTAAATTCGGTTGTTTACACTAACATAAGAGAAACTTTGCTTTTCTCGTTATTTGGAACTTGAACGACGGGGAAATTATTATTATTTCTTAAATTTCAATTGCTTTTCTTATTGCTTAAATACAATTGCTCTTTTTCCTTCCAATAAATTCTTTTTCCTTTCTATTACATACGGATATAATATGTGGTGTTTATTGGTTTTTCCGGTTGTTCCTTTTTTTACTGAGAAACTGAACTGAACTGGGTTTCTGAGTCACCAGAGCGTAAATTTTTCTATCACCCAATCAGAAAAGTTCAGTAAAATCAGTTTCTCAGTAAAAAAAGGGACAACCGTTTTTCCCCGGTAGCCGTCAAAGACAGCCGTCAGGAGCCACTTTCTACATGAAAAGACGTAGAAAGTGGCTCCTGACTGCCATCTTTGACGGTTAGCGGGAAACAATCGTGTTTATTCTGTATAAGCACCTAGCTTTACATCCTAGTAGGATAAGGAGTTCCTCGTATTATAAATTTTACAATTCCAGTAATAGTAAAAAACCAAAGTTTCTGGTCAAACTGCTAAGAACAACATCTAGTATCGTATACATTCGCCATGTTTCGAATTAGTTTGCTTTGGTATGTGTATGTACGATTAGACCTGTGTGCCGGTCGGAAAATCGGCAGCGGCGCATCATAAAAGTTTTCCGACTAGCGGCGGTTAAAACAAATTGCTCAATCGGCGGGACCCGTTAAAAGATTATTTAAAGTTTTTCATTTGCATCGAAACAGTTCTTATGTATGAGACCATTGAAATTAAGGTTAATTAAAATTCCAATTTTATATAGGTAACGTCTATGCAGATTTAAATGTCAGAGGTGTGCTGTACCAGTGATTCATCTAATTTCCTATGACTTTTTTATTCAAAACTTTTTCTGTCCGCGGAAGCTAAAACAAGAAGTTTGTACGGTAGTGGCGAGCTGTATCAAAAAATTTCGACATCGGCGGCGCAGATCTTCAGAAAACCTTGAGGCCTTCAGCGGAGGCGACGCCAAAAATCTCAATTATTCATCGGCGGCGACAGCGGCGCGGCGCACAGGTCTATGCACGATGCAACATATATTCCATGGATCCTTATTTACGACGATTATTTACTTAAGGCTAAAAAAAGTCAATGTTTATCCTGACTTGGCTTATGCTCTGATGCATAACTGTTCAAAAATTTAAATAAAAAAAATAAAAATTCATAGTATTATGATTATCTTAAAATATTGATTTCTTCGGATGAATCTCGATGACTAAATATGTCTAAATTTCGTATTTAAAAACGTTATATAAAATCAGATTTGCATGAAATTCTAATTTTTCCAGACGCTTTAATCAGTAGATACCTCTAAATGTAGATACTCTGTTCATTCAAAGAGTGTACTTGCTAATTGCAAACAGGAAGTGTGAACCATAGAATCAGCATATTTGCGAGAACCAGAATGAGACATAAAGATTAAAAATGTAAAAATAATGGTTGAACTCTTCATTAACGCCAGCATCCGTAATTGTGTCCGTCGACGATCATATAATGAAATAGAGTTGATACCACCGGAGAATGAAACATTCTATATAAATATAATAGTTGTGGAAATGCTGATGTTTTCTCTATTCTTGTTTTCTCTCTCTAATGTTTATACGGCCATGTCAAACTTAAAATTGTTCGAACAAATATTAAAAGCTGAACAGCAAAGGTCGAATTAGAAATAGTTCGGGAAAAGAAGAATTTACAAGAATGCCAATCATGTCAATGTAAGTGCATATTAAAGAACACAGTAGAATAAACCATTATTTATGATATAATAACTAGCATATACGACAAAAAAAAAGTGAAAAATATTTTTGTTGTAGATATCGATAGAACAATTAAAGTATATAAACAAGAATTGATAACATTCTTGAATGAATGAATTTATTCACGAAAAGTGAGAATCGTCAAAGGTCCCCGATCTATAAAACAATGACTCGAGCCAAACAACAACAAAAAGAATATTCTACTGAAAAGATGCTGGGATAAAGCTATTTTAAATGATAACAATGAAGTAGAATGAACGACTGATTCTGAAAGATTATTCTAGTCAGTGACAATTGAATGAAAGAAGGAAGACGAAACTGTTTGTGAAGAAAAACCGTTTACAGGTGGAATACGAACAGATTTAGAATGATGACAACGCAAGGAAGAATAATAAGAATCTTAATTTAGTGACATGTACAAAGAGATACATGTCGATAAAATAAAAATAAACGAGTGATCATATAAAAAAATACAAGTCATTCGGTTTTAGTATGACGAGAAAATATAATAATATAAAAAGCTTGTCAGCCTTGCTTCTACGAAGCAAAAATCTGAAAACTTTCTATTGAACTGTTGGGCTATAACATAGGACATGTAATAATTTTTAAAACCTGTATCTAACAACATCAGATCAATCAATACACTATCTGTTACTGGTCCATTCAATAGCTGTAAACACCAAATTTATATTAAAATTTGACCAATCATAATTCCACCAAAAGTTTACAGCCACTGAAATGGTGTTTACAGCTACTGACAAAAAACCATCTATAAACCACAAAAATCCTTGTGTATAAACTTTATACTTCAAACTTCCTTTTAACCTTTTAATCACGCTGTAAATTTGAAAAAAAAAAGTTCGTAACGTTTTCATCTACTTTTCTCTGGATCACATAAGAAGTTCGTTCCCTTATTGAGTAAGGTCTGTGAAATATGTAATCACGGGCTTTTCAACCTGGAAGCTGTCAGTCAGCTCCGTGAAAATATGGAGTAAAGTGCGGGAAAAATCAACCCGTGTTTTTCTACAACACTTTAATATTGAGACAATTAACCTAACAATTTTAAATATTTTTTTGCAAGCTTTCGAAGCTTCTCGCTTCATCACCAGGCAAAATTTTGTTCATAGCACGAAAAAACACAGTCTATATATCTATGTAACGTGAACGACACATGTCTTTTTCTCAACATCGATCTCCCATTTTCTATGTGCATCAGTAATTATTTTTCTGTCATCTCTTTGAATATTTTCTCTCGTGTGTAAAAAGTCATTTTCTATTTTTGTCTCTTGTGATTGACTTATCCATAGAATATTTGACAGTTATTTTTCCGTATTTTGCGCACACACACACAGACAACCATTTTGTAAGACCCCACATACACAACAGCACTTACGTCAAACAAAATTGGGTAGGTCTATTGACACCTCCGGCGTGGCAGCAGGGAGCTATTGACAGTCCAGAATACACTTATACACTGCAAAAATGTGTTATTTAATAAAGGCCATCATTTCCAGGTAACATGTAAGTATTCCAGTGGCTCACTCTCATGCACAGCCACCCAACCCACCCGAGATCACCTCTCATAGGCCGTCAATTTCAGAACTAATTCAACATAACACTTTGAATAACACATTTATGCAGTGTATAAGTGTATTTTGGACTGTCAATAGCTCTTGCTGCCAGTTCGACGAGGTGTTAATAGCTCCTTGCTGCCACCCGGGGGATGTCAATAGCCATTCCGAAAATAATTACTGATGCACAGAGAAAAAAAACTAACCAACGCTTCTGCGGCTGGGAGATTGATGTTGCCATTTTGATAATACAAAAAAAGTCATCTATGAATTTTAATAAAACTTACAGAATACAGATAGTCTATCATGGCAAATCGATCAGGGGCCTGTTTCTTAAAAAAACTTAAGTAAAAAATCTTACTTAAGTCAAAAAAGACAAAGACTTTTTTGGACTTAAGTAAGATTTTCTACTTAAGTTTTTTTAAGAAACAGGCCCCAGGAATACTTGCAGCCTCCCTTCGGATCTTCAGAGGGTGTCCAGAAAACTTTTTAGCTTTATATTCGGGTACATCCATACAGATCCGCCCACTTTATACACGACTTAAAGCTGAAAAGGTTTGACTACATGCAATCGATAGTCCTACTAAAGGTATGTAAAGACCCATGTCGCCCTATGGAAAAATTATTCCAAACATGGGTTTTCCCTGGCCATAAGTTCTGAATTGAAGCGTTTTTAGGGGTGTCAGAATAGCGAAATCTGACTTTATGTAATACTATCAAGCGTTCTCACACTGCTAGCTGGAAAGAGTATACGAAGTTGCATATTTCTAATATGCATCTTATACCGCAAATGAGATTTTTTCCTCGGACATTCGGAAAGAATTTTTGACTGCAGGACCCTACCTGCATTAACAGATATCACTCGTTTTATAGCGTGTGGGACAAGCTCAAAATCTAACAAAACAAAACTTTATTTATATTCAAATGAAAGCGGCTTCCAAGTTTGTTCGTATGACCCAACAACTATCTTTCTTCTATCCTTCCTAAAATTGAGTATTGTTGTGCCTTGCATAACAGTTCGTTTTCTCTTACTTACTCTTAGAAAACGAACTGTCATGCAAGGCACAACAATACTCAATTTTAGGAAGGATAGAAGAAAGATAGATTCGACGCCGAACTTCAGTTGGAGCTAATCCAAAGACACGATTCAATGTTCCAAGCTTGCGCCGACAGGCAAGAGCAATGTTCTTGGCATGATCATTCCACCTAAGATCGTGCCTCTTTTATTTCTTCTATTGATATCGTTGGCAAGTCTGGAGTGGTAGAGAGAGGAATTTGCTCCTGAAGTGAAGAATAACAAGAAGAAAAATGAGAATTGAAAAGTTCAGCTTTATCCGCATCTGTGGAAACAGATTTGGAGCCTTAGTTCAGGCCACGGGGCTTTTTTAAAGTCATAACGATAAGAAGTAGATGGAAAAAAGAGATTGCACAAGTACATTAAAAGTAGCAGATAAACAAAAATGAGGCGAACAGCCGACAGGGGGAAAAGAACCATTGTTCCAGGAAGAAGGAAATGATAAAAGGTATACTCAATACACGTATTTGAAGTAGTAGTGACAGAAACATCAGCGCCTGGGAACACCTACAAGTTCGAATTTTTTTCAACAATTTTTAATAGCTGTTTTTTTGCCATCAGCAGTTATAATCGGCATTTTGTTTAGTGCTGATGACTCTGTTGAGGCATATTTCACTAACCAGCGCTAAATATGTGTGATGTGGTTGCTACCTGGCCGCCATTTTCAAAAAGCTGCCCGCATTTCTGATGTTTTTCCATCCAATGTGTATCTATTTGTCAACTTAAAAATCCAATAGAATTGGAGAGTATTTTTGTTTAGTCTATGGGATTAGATGAGTTACCTTCTCATGAATGGTGTTTGGCTTCCAGAAACTTTTGTTCTCAGCTGATCCTAACCCAAACGAGTTTAATTTTTCCATTAGTTGTTCCATTTTCTGGGTCTGTCAAAATACAAATCATTTTCTAGATCCTTGACTGTATGGAAGCAATTATAACGTTGCAGATAACAATGTTTTAATTCCATACTTGATTGAAATCCTACAGTGTTGCCATATACCATCAAGCACTTCTAATCTTTTACTAATACGGTGGTTGTTTAGGTCATCTTTTTTAGCTTATTGCTCGATGTAAAGTAACGTATTGTTTGAAACTGCTCATTCAGAGGCTGTACAAATCAGACGTCAATCCTTCATCTAAAAGTCTCACAACGCACTTATTTTCTAAAATCATATTATTCTATTTATGATACAGAATGGAGAAGAACATATCAAAGCAAAACACAAATCATATGTGCGTATAGTACAGTTTATCTGAGTTTTTTCCCAGATCTTATACATAGTTATCTGGTAACTAAACATGGACAGAAATATGCGTTTGTTTCTTGATTTATCTGTACGTTAATCCAGTATTTTCTTCGAAAAGATGATTAACAGTTTCTGTTTTGCCTTCTCTTGTACGACAGTACTATCACAATTAACTAATCTGATACCTTAACTTTTTTTTAATTGCATTCGAATTGTTTGCAAGCTAACAGCTGATGTTTCCTTTTAGATTATATAAATGCAGTTATGAATGAACTGGACATGGCAGTGTATGAGATGGATTCACCCAAGGATAAAGTAAATGATCAGGTTTGTTGTTTCTTTCTATCCTCGTTTCAAAAAACATCAATTGCTTGATGTTGTTCGTACAAGACTATACAGAATATTATATAGAAATCTGTACGATAATGTTGTATTAATTTATGTTCTGTTTCGGTCAGTCACAAGATTTTTCTAGAATTCATTAAATGTTTTTAAAAAACTACAGCAACTTTTTTAATATTTTTAGCTATCATCACTCGAGCTGAATAAACAACCAGATGATAACTGCTTAATATCCAGACGTGTATTTTTTTCGAAGAGTGAATTTCGGCGACCCTATTCACTAAAACATGTTTATCCACAAACAAATGACACTGATGAATCGAATCAAACCCCTGCAACTTCAATTATTACATCGGTACGTTATTACAGTTCAACCTGGATTGTTCGACCATTAGGCTAACTCTCAGCAAAAGGATAAAAATGACTGAGCTGCCCTTGTCAGGTTTGAGGGAAACACTGAGCCAAAAACCCTTTAAAAAACTTTTTAGTGAACAAAATCGAAATGTTTTATAAACCATTGGGTCGTGACTCCATGGTTCCTCTCTGTAGTTGCGCCACTAAGTAATAATTTATTAGTGAATAATTTTTCTCAGCAGGTTATACGAAAAGCTAGAGCTGTTAGTTTATTGTGCGATTGTATCTGATGGGTTCTGTCGTTATAATGTTTTGCTAGTATAGATTTTGGCGAAAATTGGCTCCGCCGTTTTCACAGAAATATCTCTTAAAAATGCTGGTGTTTTAGATAAACTATGGAAAACGACTTCACGAAATGGATGAAAATGCAAGTGAGACAGAAGATGATAGTGTTCAAATTCTAGACAAAATACCAAGTCTAAGTGCGCAACGTCTTCACGTTCCAAGCACAAAAGTTAAAAAAGTAAGAATGCCTGTTACGTTTGAATGTAACTTTTTACTGTAAAAAGAGCTTCAAAACTTCTTCGCTCCTAGCATATGTACAACATCTGTAGGTCAAAAATAGTCTATTTTTGTACAAAAGATGCAGGAAACATGATATAATTAGCAGCTTCAGAGTGTAACATGGATTCAACTACATTTTCTGTTTTAGGTATTTGCTAGACCACCGAAAATAGCGAAAACCACCGTTACTCGACCACCTAACTCACTGGTATCACCGTCTGCCATACAATCGAGTATTCCCACAATGAATATTACCGAAATTAGACAAATGATGGACTCAGATATACCACCTGTAGAGAGCACCATTGAACACAGAATGAGAATCGATATTTTAAGTTTTATTCTGGAAGATCCAACATTGAAAGATTCTTCGATTCTAAATCAACTAGTTTTATTTATTCAACAACAATTAGAATCTGAATCGAAACAATTTTATTGTTCATACGCAAGTACCATGAAAATCGTACGAAGATCCCTTAATAATCTTATTAGTAAACGGAATAGCAAAGCAAAAGCAAAACGACGAAAGTTAGATGAATGTTGGACAACATCAATTATCCTTGTGAAATTAAGAGTTGAATTACGAGAAAGTTCAATAACCAATGATAAGTAAGATAACCTTGTTTCAGAATGGTTACTTTACTTCTTTGATTCACTGTATAGATTGATACACTTATGGCCATATTAAGCATATAACTAGTAACAAAAATTTTAAAAATTTGTTCGAGCTCTTGTTTTGTTGGTTAGACAAAATCTAAAAATCCTCAAAAGTAAATTTTTCACCGATGTCGCCATCTGTTATCAACTTACTTATCACTTTCAGTTAGTGTTTGAACTATATCAACTTCTGAAAATTTTAATATATTTACGATCAACATAATACATCTGTTTTCTACGTTAACTTAATCAACCAACTGTACGATATAAATGAACCATATTACTGTCATAGATAAACAATAATATTTATTGAGTTAAAGAGCAAAATTACGGCAAAAGTCATGAAGCTTTTATTCTCATTGATTATACTCAATCCATTGTTGAATGCAAAAGATGTTAACTCCTTGGACTTCAAACGGCCTTGATAAAAACATCCCCAAGTCCAAGTCCATCAAAAAAACCTTCAAATTCAGACTTGAACTTGCCCACGTCTGTTCTTAGTTTTGCTCTTTTACTTAACGAATATTATTGATCAGCTTCTAGGTTTAACAAATGTATTTTAAACTCTTTAGTGTTCTGATTTTTTCTTTTTTGTAGTAAACCAGTTAATACTGATCAAGTCTATAAATTTGAATTTAAAAGCACAAATCAATCAATTGTACCACCAACCGATAGTTTATTAGTTATTCAAGAATCGGATGATGATAATGATGAAAAAACTGCAGTAGTATCTGTTGATAATTATTCGAATACAGATGCTCGTATAACCATTCCAATGCATAAAATAACAGAGACATTTGAAAATAATGAAGTTAATGAAACAAAATTACAAAAATTATTGAATCAAATCGTTGCACACATTCGGGAAGAAAAACTTGATTGTCAATTAAAAAAACTGGAGCGTATTTTAAATAATCGAGTAACAGTTCTATGTGCATCATTTCGAAATTCAATTATGTCACAAGCTAGAAAACAACAAGAATTACCAAAATTCATAACAATATTTGTACCATTCACAAAGCCAGCAATAACAACAACAGAGAAAGAGGTACCAGTTGCTGAACTAAGAAAAACGTTTAATAAGGTCGTTTATTTTCAAGTAGCTAACAATTTAGTTTTATAAAATAGATGATACCATCAATAGGCTTGACGTTGAGATAGATTTGTCGAATATACTGGATATTTGCCATTGAGAGTTCTTACTATTTGTCATATGTTTTAGACCATTGATCAAGTAGAAAAGGATGATATCGATGAAGATCCATTGGCGGATAAAGAAGAAGAGATGTGCCCACGACGAAAAACATTGCGTGATCGCCGTTTAACACAACCGAAACGTTATTATGACATGTTTTATCATGATGAAAACGATGAAGATGATTTTGATTTAGAAGAAGAATTGAAAAATGAATCAAAAAAAGCATTACTACGTAATTCATATAATCAAAAATTCCTCTTATGGAAAATGAAATATTCAATATCCGATGTTGCATTTCGAAAATTAAATTCATTAGAAAAAGCAACTGGACGATCATGTCCGTCTTTTAAAAATTTATTACATTTGAAACGATTATATCACAGTAGTATACCAATAACATCAACACAATATGGTAAGAAAATATATAAACCTCTGTTAGCAAGACTACTTTCAAATTAACTTTCTCATTTATAAACGAAAACTCAATTCGTTCATACGTCTTGATGATGTATTTCAACAGTTCTACAAGAAAATTAACTGAAATATTTATCCATTAAATGTATCACTTGGCTAAAATAACATGTTTTTCTTATCAGTTTATTAAACATTAGTAAAACGCGTTTGAGTTGAATTCATTTTAAAGATCGTTCTTCTACAAAGTATTTTTCCTCTGGCTTTAGGTGCTTATGTTAATGTTCATCATGCCATTCGAATATTGATTGGTGCTAATCCTCAAATATTGTCCAACGAATCTATTCGAGAAAAACGTATCCTTCATTTTCGTTTATGTCAAGATGGCACATGGATTGGAAAATATCTCAATTGTTTAGCGTCGAGTTTAAGTTGGGTTGATGCGGGTTATGAAGGGCAAAAAGCAATGGCATTAATGCCCATTGGATTCTTTCGTATACAAAGTGAAAATCGTTCAAATTTAAAAAAACGTTTAACAAAACAATTTATTGATATGTTTAAAAAAGATCAAATTATTACGTACGATGGAACTGAATATAATCTTAAATTTACATACAGTGCCGATTACAAAATGGTTGCATTAATTATGTAAGTAGAAAACATTTTAAACGAACTAAATAAATAGGAAAAGAAAAAATAAGAATTAGTCGTGTAGAAACAGTTGAAGAGAGAGAAGTTAAGAAAATTGCTAAAGTACTTCTTTTGTTTTTATCGAACTGACTGAATAGAGCTTATTTCGTTGTTATTATTATTTTAGGGGTTTGAGTGGTGCGAAAAATGAACATTTTTGTAACTGGTGTAAAATTACAAAGAAAGATAAAGATAATTTTACCAATTATTCCGCATTCGATACGAGTCGTAATGCTCGAACAGTTGATGAACATTTGAGTGAAAGACAGAGTGCAAATCCACGATATGGCTATACAAATGAACCAATCTATGGAAAATATTTTGAGTAAGAAACGACGAGCCATCGTTTAGACATGAGAAAAAGAGTGCATGATCATTATCGCAAGATGAGGGCTAAGGCTGCTTAAAAAAAGGTCTTCCTTCTACTTTTAATAAATCTTTTCTGCTTTGACCTCTTCATGGCGTCCTTCGTCAAATGAGGGAAAGAATTGAGATTTGTGTATCTTTTCTTCTATTTTTTTTGTTTTGCGAAATATTCTTCTTACAAAAAATCAGTACTTCACTTTACAGATGCTCAGGTCAGTAATCGATTGCTTCAAAATCTCATCTTCAGCAGACATCATCACACTTTCACCTGTTATATAAACGCATTTTATCATTTTCCGACGTTATTATTCACTCATTCTTTCCCTATCTTCTAGTTATTGTGATATGATTGTCGATATGCTTCATATGAAATTACGTATCTGTGATACACTATTGAAACATACAATCATAGCTTGTTGTGAAGTCGAATCTCCGAAAACGAAAGAAAAAGAAATTGAACAACGAAAGAATGCACTAACATTTTTTACACAACACGCAAAAAATTCTAAAGTATGTATCACCTATTTTTCGCAACCTACGGTAAATATTTTTGATTAATTTGATGCAAAGTCTCAGCAAGTCAGTCTTGGTTGTTTTCAATTATTGATAAATTCCAAGAAAACAATACGTTTGTGTCTTCAATTATTTATGCAAACTAATATATACTCATTATAAAACCTGTTGTAATTCACAGTTTGTATAGTGAAATATTTTATCACAAATAATGAAATTTTGTCAGAACTTTCTACATTTACTTTTGTTTTATTACTTTCTAAAGAGAAATATTTGGACTATTTCCATAGAAATAAGCAGGGAAGTAGTAAAATGCTAAGAAAGTTTGAAATCATGAGCCCACCATCAAAAAAAGATATGAACTATAAACTTATTTAGTTTTTTTTTTTGTTGTTTTATTTAGACGTACATTCGTTTTGCTATTGAAAAATCAAAAATAATTGCTACGACTCTAATATCAGGTGATAAACATGAAAATTTTACCGGTACATTACCGTTGGAAGCGATTATGCATAATAAAGAAAAAGCTGGAAAAATTCAAAAATTAATTCAAGATTTTTTTTATTTACAAACAATAATGAAGAAAGAACAAAGTGATCAACATTATAAATGTTGGGTAAAATTTAAATGTTTAGAATGGGGTGATCAATATAAACAATTATTTTCACGTGATCAAGTAACACCTTATGTCCATATTGTTGCGTGTCATTCACACGAATTTTTTCATGTTTATAATGATTTAAATAAATTTACATTACAAGGTGTTGAAAAAATGAATGATGTTTTAACACATGATTATTTTCGTTCAACAAATAAGAGAAATGATTGTTTTAAACAAATAATGCAAAAACGTATTTGTCAATTGATGTTAGGTTTTCCGGCAAATGTTATTGAAAAAATACTTAACGATTTGAATAATAAATCTTTGTTACCAAAACTTCAAGAAGAAAATGATGTTGAGGAAGTAGATGAGGAGAATGAAATGTCAGATAATGATGATTGATTGTTTATTATTGTTTTTATTAATCATTTGTACACATATTATGGCGTTTTGTGATCGTGTGTTAAATTCATCTTTTTTATCTTGTAGTTTTTGATTTAGTTTTCACATTGTGTTTTCTTTGAATGATTAGCTAACATTTTTGGCTTTTTGATGATTCTTTTGTTTGTAGGTATATTGTGTAGATTAGATTAATTTAATCACAATTACTTCAAGTGTTGTTGTGGATAGAATCTAAACTCTATGGTTCATTTTTTTTTTTTTTGTTGTTCATCAATAACAAATGAGTAGATAGCTGTACGACAGGTTTTATCAAAAATGAACACTGGCAATGATGTTGTTTTTATACTTTCATATATAGGCCAAATAAACTCTGTCAACTATTGTCGTTTCTCATTGCTTTATTTTTGAACTTCAATAGCGATAACAAAATGAAAATGGAGTTTTTATTCTTTCAAATTTATTTCAAATGATCTTAAAATATTAAATTTGTAACGATCAAAACTCCATCTTAGATTCGTTAAATAACATGCGACATGTTTGAAAATTTTAAGACTAGAAATTTTCGATAAATTTTCTTAGTATCAATGATAAGTCACATTATGATTATTTCACTATTTAGAAAAACGAACATCTGTGAGGATAAATGCAGTTAAATTCAATCGTATAAATCTTCACGTTGTTGCGATTTTTCCTTGTTCTTCAACGGAAACGAACGAGAAGCGACAGAAATAAAAAATGAATTTTCTGCTAGAGAAGAAAGAATTATGGAAAGATAAATTGAAATACACCTGAGTTGTTTGTATGTGTATCATCTGTGGTAAACACTTCAACTCGAACGGATAACGTTGTGATAGAGTCGGTATCATCCATAATCCATTTCAGATCAGTTTTGAATCAAGCACATCGATAGATGAAAGTCACTTTTATGTAGACTGTCATTAAAATTATCATCACTTTTGAAAGAGAAGTTTGAAGAAAAATGAGAGATAATTCATTTTGTGTAAAACTCTTTACTGTAGAAAACTAAATACTTTGAAAAAACTGAATAGTTTTGATAAAATGAGAGATTGAATATACATTTCAATGATTGTAAAGTCATAATTCTTATCTTCATACACAATCTAACTATATGATTATATTTTTAGATAATAAAATATATAAATACGTAGTATCATGGGCGTTGGCGGACATAAACATCATTATGATAGTGCAAAAATTGCGAAAGAAATGAAATCCCATGAAGAAGTAAGTAGTATAATATACGAGAATGATCCTTGAGTTTTCACTTTTTCATTTTTCATGTAGGATCCATTAACGAAGTTAAAAGAACTGTGTAGTAATGATCATGCTTGCGCAGAATTAAAAGAAAAATTAGAAACATGTAATGATCGTGTAAACGGAAAACCGTGGACAAAGGAAACATGTCAAGAAGAATTACTTGATTTTCTTCATTGTGTAGATGAATGTGTAAGTATGAATAGAAAATTGTTAATATTTTTTATTATCAAAGTCTTTTTCTTTATTTTAGTGGGCACCAAGAATCCTAAAATATATCAAATAATTTTGGTGATGAATATAAACTGGATAAATGCGATGACTTTTTGTGTACCATTTAGATTTGTAGTTTTCGTTAGCTTCTTTTAGAAACGTTTCGTTCCAATGACTCCTGATTTTTTTCATCCTGTTTTTTTTTATTCATATTTTTTTTTTTTGTATAAAAAGAAAACCAAAAAGAACATACATACGTATAGGAAATAAATTTGTTTTTCGCCCTCTATCTTTAATTTATAAAATATTGTTTTGTAATAATAAGGTATCGAGTGAACAACAGTGTGTTTCTAAACAATGTTTTATACTTATAAAGATCCCCGATATCAGCCAAAAGATAAAGCCTGCAAACTCTTCCTACTATCATTCGATAATATCGTTTGCTTCCTAATAGTAGTGACCTAGATCTACAAACTGTTCACGAACATCCAAGAAACGTTGCTATATCAAACATCATCCGACATATTCCTATATTAAACAAACGTAGAGAAAAAAAAGTTAACTCGGGGAAAATCAGTAACTTTTTTTGAGTGTTAGTAGTTATTAACATGTTTTACTGTGTGTATCTTTGAGTCATACATGGAAACGTTCCGAGGAGTGAACGATGTCAATCGCTTTTGCTACCTGAGAAAAATATTTGATTTAAGTGTACAATAGTTCGAGAGTGCATACTTGGTTTTTCATACACTTTAGTCAGAGATGGAATGGGCGAGTACGCAGATTCTCGAGTATGAGTATGAGTACTAATGAAAAAATTTTTAGTTGCCTAACAATAGCCATTTTCAATACCTTTCGGGTTATCAGTTGAACGAGAGTTAGATTCTAGTCTTAGGTTTTTTATTTTACTCTTTATTATTGAATTGTTTTACTTTATCTGAACACACAAGAATGAAACATTATGATCATTATTACATTTTAAAAATGTTAACATGCATAATGATCTAACCGCCAAGGGATGCTGTTGCTAGACCTTAGACGTTTTTGATCGGCAACATCACTTTGTATTAAATACATTGCAAAAGAATCGCAATCAGTAATAACCCATTCAAAATAAATTTGAGGCGAAAACATTCTAAATGCACTTAGATTACACTAGTGATTTGATTACATGCAGAGGTCTGCATTTAATCAAATCACTACTGTAGTCTAAGTGTAGTCTAAGTGCATTTAGAATGTTTTCACCTCAAATTTATTTTGAATGGGTTATTATTGATTGCGATTCTTTTGCAATGTATTTAGTGCAAAGTGATGCTGCCGATCAAAAAGAATCACGAAAGGAAGCACATTTTTTTTCCTTGGCCGTTAGATCATAAGGTTGATGCTGATAATTTTAAATGATGTGGGCGAATGATAAAGCCGCTTTGAGAAAAAATTTGCTGTATTGGTGCGAATGTTACAGGGACAGTAAAATGTTTTAGAGCTAATTTTGATAGATTAATTCATGAGGATATGATTGATATTTCGTTGAAACCAGATAAAATAAGGTTCTTCTTTATACTTTTCAACAACAAAAAGAAAAGACACAGTTCACTTTTTTTTTTTCCGAGTTATTTTCTTCTACAGAAAAAGATAACAAGTCTCTGTTTTCTTTTACAGTTCACATGCGCCTTCTTATCTGATGGTCTATTCTAGTGACCAAGAGAAAGATAGACAGAAAGAAAGGAAACGAGGTTTCAGAACAAACAAAAATCTAGCATATGACTGACATGAGAGTAAGAGAAAAAAAGAACCCAAAAGTAGTTTTTCTGTGACTTCAATAATCACATTTATTCATTTTGCAAGGCCAAAAATTTCTTTGTAATGCATAATAATGGACAAATTTCAAATACTCGAAAATACTCGAGTACATTTTTAAGTACTCGTAAAAAGGAGTTCCGAGTACGAGTACGAGTAATGAAAATTTTGTACTCTAGCATACTCGAGTAGTACTCGCCCATCTCTGACTTTAATAGATTGTTGTAAAATTCTATATTCTAGGTGTTCATTCATTTTCTCCCAAAATTAGAAATCTTTCCAACTATCTCTACTGTCAATCAATTTTATTTCGTCCAATATTTAGACGTTAGGATTGATATACATCAGTATCGTCTATATATTACTCAGTAAAACAGCATATAAATATTTCTATTATTGAATAATATTAATATTTACATATTATTTATTATGTTGACTAAAATAACATATATATCTTTTTTTATGAAAAAAAAATAAACATATGACAAAATAAATATCGTATTTTATCTGATTTATGTCTCTATGAAAAAAACTTTTTATTTGCATTTAGCTTGCATTTTTCAAAAAGAAGAACAGATGTTCAGTCATGAATGAGGGATTTATCCCATTTGATAATTAAAAATGTATGTTTTTTCTCTGCAGAAAGTTCTTAACACTTTAAGATCGTAAGAATGGAATGACATCGTTCTACGGGTTAAGAGAATTGATTGTTTATCGGCTAATAACAGAACGAGACAGTGCTTAGAAACTAGAACGATTGCTGAAATTAACATTTTGACAAGTAAAGACATGCAGTTCACGTATTTGAAATTATTAATTATAAAGAAATTCGTACTACCTCTGAAGAGAAAATTCTTTTTATCCCCACCTAAAGATGGCAGCCGACCCGGCCATCGATAAAAAGTTAAAAAATTACGCTGTCGAATGCGGAAAATTTTCTTGGAAAACCTCACTTCCAACCAGATTTTGGACATTTTTTTCACTGAGCAGGAACATTAAATTTTTCTTGGAAAACACAGAAAACTTAGTGGCAAGACGGAGAATTCGCGATACCGTCGAACAACGAGAAGTTTTTACATTCTATTACCGACGTTTTGGTCGATTGCTCAATATTTCACTCAAGACTTTGCAATAATTGAAAGTTTTCTTTCGGAAAAACTTGGCAAACTTAACAGTTGGATACTCCTTCGAAAATTTGTATGACGTCGGCGTTTACGGAATAGATGATCTTATAACTGAATGGAAAAGGCTTTCTATTAGGATATTACTATCATTTAGTAAAGTAGTAGTCATATGGCACTTTTATGCCTCAATGATATCTACTTGTCAATTTTCAATAGTTGACGAATGATCAAGGATGTTAATTGAAGAAATTGAATGCTTGATGAATGGGCGATATAGTGTGATATAGACAATATTTTATTAGTATGTTCTCTAACTTCACTGTTTTCTCCTTTTCATTGCCAATTGTACAAGTATCTCCCCGTGTTGATTAACGGACATGGACAGTTTTTTTAAATTTGTCCATGGACATGGACAAACTGAAAAATGTTTAAATTTTTTCCAAAGCAAGGATCTGATTGGACACTAGTGATAAGATGTTTGGCCGTAAGAAAGAAAGGAACAAACAATAATATAGTCTAGATCTATATTTTTTTTTCTTCTGCTTCTCTTAGTACATGTTTTTACTACACTGAACAAAGAAAAACGTGTTTATTTCGGTGTTCTATATCCATAGTCTACTGTTATTCTTGCTTCCTCAGAGAAAACAAAGTAGATGTTTTTTTCATTTCATAACTGCATTGAAAATGAATGAGAAGGATTTGCGGAAGTTAATTAGGCAAAAAAACAAGTGTGTTATATTGAGAAACCTGACAGAAATAAAGAAAAAGGAATGAAATTTTCACACGCAAAATGTCTAAAAAGCGCATAAATTCCATAGATAAAATGAGGTGATCTAATTCAAGGTATAATCTGCTCATAGACATAACTTGAAATTTTTTTTACATGGACTCAGAAACTCAAGTCCATACGGATAGAAGTGTTAAATACGGCTGACACCTCTATATATGGAGTTCTCGTATATGCTATACACGATACATAGTGTTGATAGATTTTCCATGACCTCACCGCCTTAGTTATAGTTGTTAGTAACAGTATGATCTCAAATTTCTTTTTTTGTCATTTATATAAAGCTATAGAGACAACTGTCTACTTGAAAAAACAAAATGATTCTTAGACAAATTTCTGAACAATGTTTGGCTTGTTTCATCTTCCGGAACGTTCAGTTATTAGTTTACTGTTTCTAAACCTATTATCAAGTCAGAATACTGTGTCAGTTGTTAGTTGCGTACTAGTCTACGTGTCTATAAAATTATCGTTTATACATAATATTTAAATTATTTTAGACATTTAAATGGCGTTATCGCGTTTACATCGTACCTTAGCATTTTTTGGTTTAGTATCAGCAGTTATTTATGGATTTTATTCATTATTTGATCGTCGTCCACCGTGTTATTCCGTCGATGTTGAATATTTCGGTCCCATTGATCGTAATCGAGATATGGACTCTGATGTTAAAATATATCCATTTACCATACCATATAGTCCTGCACAAGTAGATGATTTACAATCACGTCTTGGAAAAACACGTTTTTATCAACCATTAAATGATCCACAAAATATCACTCAATCCCAATACGGTTTTAATCGTAAAACGGCTGAATCTATTCGAGACTATTGGTTAAATACGTTTAACTGGAAAAAAGCTGTAGCTGATTTAAATGAATTTTCACATTATAAAACGATGATTGCCGGTCTCAATATTCATTTTGTTCGAAAACAAACAACAACACAACAACATCGACAAAAAGAAGCAATTATATTTTTACATGGTTGGCCAGGATCATTCTATGAATATTTAGGTAAATTAAATTCTATTCTTAGAAAATTAAATGAATATGAGCATCATTTGTCAATGTGAAGGTCATCTATTGATGTTATAATTTGTATCTCCCTTATATGTTTGATCTAATAGAGTTGTTTTATTTAGATGTAATGAAACTGATGAGTGCATCCACAACGATTGAATATGATTTGATCACTCCATCGTTGCCAGGTTATGGTTATTCTGATATGACTACTCGATCTAAAATGTCACCACAACAAATGGCTCGAATATTTCATGTTTTAATGCAACGTCTCGGTCATAGTTCATATATTGTTGTTGGAGGTGATTGGGGATCAATCATCGGTACATTTATGTCAAAATTATATCCAGGACATGTTAAAGGTTTTTTGACAACGATGCCCTCTGATATTACACCAAATTTATTAAATTTTATTCGGATGTTATCCGGATCAATTAGTAAATCATTTTTGTTAGATCAAGATGAACAAACGTTCAAACCAGATTTTAGTATAATAAATAATCTAAAATTATTTTGGAAAGAATTTGGATACTTTCATTTACAATCAACAAAACCGGATACAATAGGTTATGCACTCAATGATTCACCAATGGGTTTAGGTAGAATTTTATCATTTTTTTCCTATTCTTGTTAACTTTGACAATTTAATTTTTATTATAGCCTCATATATATTAGAAAAATTTTCTTCATGGAGTAATAATCGAACTGAAGTTGATACATCACCAAACTTTGGTCTTGGACGTTTTACTCTCGATCAATTATTAACAAATATAATGATTTATTGGACAACAGAAACGATAACATCTTCGATTCGTCTTTACTATGAATTTATGAGTTCTGTTGCATCTGGTCATGATAAAAAATTAATCACTGGTCCGTTAGATAAAACTGTACCAGTGGCCGTATCAAATTATCGTAATGAAATTTTTTATATGCCAAAAATAATTATTAAATCAAAATTTCCAAATATTAAACAATGGTTATATCATCAAGAAGGTGGACATTTTGCCGCACTGGAAGTTCCAAGACAATTTGTACGTGATCTTGAAAAATTTATTGCACTCCTTTAAAACATTCTATGATGTTCAAAATTTTATTATCCGATAACATTTTGACTATTCTTTCTGTGATTATTTTCCACAAAAAAACAGCAACAACCAACCAACGATACAGATGTTTTTTACTTTTACTTATTTGTTTATTATGTGTCTTACGATATGTGTTGTCAAGTTCGATTTTTTGCGTGTAGTTTTAGAAAACGTTACACAATTAATCTGGATGTCTACTTTATTTTTTGTTTTTTTATATACTTTTATGTGTCTATTTTTTTTTTACTGCATTTCTACTACCATTTCGAAGATTTTATCTAACATATGAAATATGACATGAATAAAATTCTATTTACAAAAATGTGTTGCCTTTTTTTATCTTTCAAATTTAAAATAAAATTTGATTGATTTGTCCTTGTAAAAAATATAGAATATATTGAATTTTTCTAGATAAATATATATATTTTAAGAAAATAAATTTTAGATATGAAACTAGTATTTGATGGTAGAAATATTCAAGAAAACGATTTTTTGTAACAAAGTAGTATCACTAGTTTTAGCTTTACTCTCTAGTCTCGCTGTCTAGAGGATGTCCCAGAATAAATTGCACTAAACCTTAGTGCATTTTTCTATCACTTTCTATTTATTAAATAATTTCCTTTATATATCAAACAATAGAGAATTTAATTCTCTACAAGATTGTATATTTATTTTTAAGATTCATCTTTGATGTTTGGCACAGTAACTCTAACAAGAAAACCTCCAGATTTTTTAACGACACCTTCAAAAAATCGATTTTTGTGCGCAAAACCTTACTTATTCAACAAAACAAAGTATACCGAAAAATTCAGCAAGAAATTTTCTACAATATGATGGTTTTTTTTTAATGAGAAATAATGATTTTTTTCGATTAAATCGGAGCGAAAAAGGTCAATTTTCTCCTATTTTTCGGCTAGCTTAGCGACATCCAGTACTTTTTAGTTTTTCAGGTAAAAAACATAGCAGGTTTGTTTGTAAGTTATACAGTCTAATAGAACGCAAAATTCTGCATTTTTTGTTCTATTAAACTAATGATTTGAACTTTGAATTTTATACTAGAATAGTCAAAACGTTTTTTTAGTGATAAAAACTTCGGTGGACTTGAAAATTTATGTATTCAAGCCACTAACAATTGAAATAAATTAACTTTAAGTAAACTCTTTTGTAAAGCATGAAATTCTTCACCATTGGACGGTAATAAAATTATTTCAAATTTTTTTGTACGCATTCATTATAAACAATTAAAAAAAGAGGACAGTTTGCACTTTAAAACTGCGTGGTACAGTTAAAGAAAATTGCAGCTTTTCTTGTTAGAGTTACTGTGCCAAACATCAAAGATAAATCTTAAAAATAAATTAATAATCTTGTAGAGAATTAAATTCTCTATCGTTTAGTATATAAAGGAAATATTTTATAAATGGAAAGTGGTAGAAAAATGTACCAGGATTTAGTGCAATTTATTCTGAAGCACCCGTTATGTTTACTCTAGAAATCGATTTTAGATATTATTTTAATTAATGAAGATAGTTATACTGAGAATGTGCTTTAGTTGTCAAATTTAAGACCGTGCATAGTTTAAATTAGTAGTGTCATCTAATTTTCTTTTTTTTATAATGAAACTATTCTCATTAAAAATGTGATAGATACGAAAAATATAGAATCGTGAAGATTGAACTGAATTGAATGTATTTTGTCTAACGACGTTACATAGTCAGGAAACAGTAAACAAGCCAAAAAGAAAATTTCGCTTACCTAAGAGGCACTGTTACCGACAGTGAGAGAGAAAGAATGAATCACAATATAGTGAGAGAAAAAGAGAAAGAACAATAATAGTCCTTATGTGCTATTTTTATAGCAAGAACATACTAAAAATAATTTACATGATTTATGAGAAGCATTTGAAATACATTTAAATTGACCGTGTGTACTATTGAAGAAGCATTCTATTACTTAGATGTGAGCGGTAAGAAAGAAGAAGATGAAGCTTTTATGGAAAAATATGTAGTCATAGCCTGTCTGTCATGCCCAAAACGCGTAGATTTCCGATTATGAGAAGGTGCAATGAGATTAAAGTGTGAAAGCGGACTTGTACCATAGAAAATTTTATGGAAATGAATGAGTTTGAAATAGAGTCTTCGATTTTCGAGACAACAAAGTTTTAATTTGGAATGAAGTGCTATCGGATTGATTGAGTAGTCTCTCATTATAACTCTAATAGCCAAACGCGGCACGTCATCCAAAATAGACAAATAGACTTTTGGTTTAGAATACTATAATGGAATATTCTTCCACTTGTATTCTGGCAGAATAAAGCTTATATAAAAAAAAATAGACAGATGTGATTTAAATGAAGTGTCATAAAGAATACAAGCATATTCAAGAACCGACCTGACACATACTTTGTAAAGATGAAGACGGAGATATAGTGGTGCGATGTATGAAACATAGATGACAGGGTCACGAAGTCAAACGAACTGAGCAGTAGTTGAATAAGTAAATTTTCGTGAAAGATGAAAGAAAACATCATTTTTACCGTATAGGATATGCGAATGATACAGATTGAAAATCACTACAATAAATTGAATTTTGCCTCGTTAATATATTTTAACTTCAAGACCTTTATTCTTCCCAACGAATTCTATTCGAGTCTTGAACGTCAAGACTTATGATTTTGCTGAATGTATTCTGCATAGAAGCACTCTACGGTGTTTATGTTTACTCTCTCTCTCTCTCTCACGTTTGTCCTACACTTACTTACGAACATATATATGACATACAGTTTAAAGTATTTGGCTATTGAACATATATTTCAAATACAGTTACTGAATTTTTTTGAGCAATAGCAAATGAGTCTTTGCCTTTTTTTTATGAACTAAAAAAAGAGTCCGATAAGCATTAAATAACTTTTGCAGATCAATTGAAGAAACGACTGAAAATCTGAGTTTTATCAGATATATTTCGCCGCATGCAGTACGAAGTAGACAGCTTCATCAAGAAATATTATCGAAAATGATGGGATCTGTTCTAATACGAATAACTTAATACTATATGTTTATATATTCAAAAACAATAAGTATCGTGACGATAGTCTTCTGGGCTCGCAAATAATAATATTCATTTTTCTTTCAGAATGATGTTTATGCTCAATGTTTTAATACTATCCTAGTCATTACCAAATATAATCTATCAATTACGAATAACAATGTTTACGAGTGTATGTCATCAAGTTCTGTTACAAAGCTCACCATTTCACGATTCGACAAGAAAACCATTAAGTACCCTGTTAAATGACATGACACATTATGTCGCCACATACAATTTAGAAGTCGATGATGAATCAATTGTATTTGGGTAATCAAACAAATAAGATTTAAAATGTTGTTTGGATGATACAATCAGTGTTTTTGATACAAACGTTGGAAGGAGAGGGAAGTTTGAAATGAGTAATTGTAAACTTCGTAAAATATAGACGCAAACCTTTTCTTATTCATCAACTTTTAAGAAGATTTTTCTTCCTCCGTCTTAATCGAAATGGCTGGATATAATATCTTTTATCAGATCATAGATTCTTTTCTTAATATTCCCAAATGTATGACATGATTGGATCTTCTAACGTTGGGAAAGATTATACGTCAATGTAACGTTTTCGCTTTTATTTTTAGCCTTCAACTTCTTCTATTAAATGATAATGAAAGGATCAGGGCCGCAGCATTACGAGCATTTCGATTTTCTATTCATCGTTTATCAATAATTGAAAAATTTCTTGAATATCGGCTTGATTATCTCGTAGCACGGTAAATATCTATAGTTCTACTTTGATTCCAGTAAACTCTTTATCTTGTTTCTGTGTGTTTAGTTCACTAATAATTGATTCACGTCAGTCGTCTACACGTGAAAATCGTGAACGTTTTGAAGCATATAAATTAGTTCGACGTTTGTTTCATTTATATCCTACTCGTTTTCCTCTCTCATTCATTTATGCTATGGATTCACTAATCAAGTATTCTAGTCAAGCAGGCGATAATAGAAAAAACAAGCCAAATGTACAATCACAACAACAACAATCAATAATAAGACAAGATCAAATGGTTAAATGTAGTCTTGAACTTTTATGTGAAATAGGTAAAACATTTTATTCTGCACATTGAACAATAGATCAGTTCACTTTTTTCTTCTGTTTTTCTACTTTAGCTCTTTATAATCCGCATATATTACACGACTGCAGTACATTTCATACAATGCTACGTTATATTACAGATTATGATCAAGAAGAATTAATTGAAAGTGTCATATACGCGGTGTTACATGCTGTTGACAGATTCAGTAATTCATACTAATTGCTTTTTATTGACAACAAGCTTCACCACCTGCATGTCTAGGAAAATCACTATTGAATTGGACACATCTTCCGATGAATCATAAACTTTCATTTAATACCTCAATAAACTATGCTTTTAGGTGTTAATGATAACAGTGAGCCAACAGTAGTCGAAGCAATGGATCTGTCAATTCAAGGACCTGGATGGATATTTATCGATGAAGGAATGCAAAAACGACATAATCTAATCAAAAATATATTTAGTGTAAGAAGCCATCGTTTACATCATTTGTTTTCGAAGTTCTCATCCTTTTTTTTATTGTAGGAACTTGTTGCCGTATTTTCATTGTGTGAAAAAGGCGTAATGAAAACAGCGGATAGACGAGGAATGACCCCTACAATGTAAGTACTATACTAGGTATGTGCTACATTTTGTCTGCTACATGTTTGTTTCTGATCTTTTGAAGATATGAAAATCTGAGATTTAAAGAAGTGGACAAAAATCAACAATTGAAATCGTGTAGTATAGCACTGAAAGCCGTATTGAGAAGTTGGATAGGTAAAACACAATTTAATTAGTAGTCAATGTGTTCAATTTTTATGTAATGGAAATGTATTTTTAGGTTTCACAGCATTTTGTCAGTCAAGTAATTCATCAGTTCGATTACTGGTGAATTGTCTATTAGTGCAATCCGAACCAATGAAAGTTAGAAACAAGTATTTACGAACGTTCTTCACTGTTTTAAAAGATTTTTTTTCCACTGTAGATGTGTATTATCGATTTATTTCATGATTTATTAAATCTCGATATGTATATAATAATCATTTAACTCTTCTTATTCATCTCTGATCGTATTTCATTTCTATATAGTCCGCCTATTTGCGACAATTATGAATCAGCATTGAAATCAACGTGTAAGTAATCAACCATCTGTTCGAATAGTGAGAAAACAAATACGAATCTCCGGATGTCTGTCTTTTAGCAGTTTTACAAATGATGTCTCTTTTTCTGATTTCTAGATCCAGTATATAATTTAACTAATGCTGAAGAAGGTTTTACTTACGTTGCTATGGAAGGATCATGCAAATTACCACGTTTATCATCAACAAGGTATGCCGAATTTTCTATTCAGCTTTGGCTCTTTACTTGATTCCATAAATATTATTGAGTTTCTTGAACAGAAGGATGAATTCTCTTTTTCTATGTTTCCCATCAACGATTTTCCAGTTCAAGTTTCACTAAAAGACGTCAGAAAGAAAAAAATCTAAATTTAGGATTTTGAGATATATATTTTGATCTGAAGAACGTACTGTAAAATGGTAAAAAGGATGAGATAAAAAAAAAGCGAATTCTGCTTTATTTGTATTGCTAATATTCTGTTGTTTTCTTTTCGTTATATACAGTGACGAGTATTTATGCTTTAGCTACTTGTACCTACTTTCGTTTCCTTTTAGTATTATTTTTAGAAAATAGAGAGTATAGATGCTTGCATGTGGTAGTTTAGATCTGTTTGCATGTTACAAGACTTTTAGAAAATGATATATATGAAAGTGTATGCTTTCGCTTTTTTCTTTGAAATATCTGTAGTTAGAAGAGAATTAGTGATGTTTATACTAGCCCATAAAATGACATGTTATTTGATACAATTTCTTTCCACTTATGTTGTGTGTTTTTATAGTTTTATCGTCTAATATTTTATTGTTTAGACCAAATCTGCTTGATAGTCATATGGCTCTTATGCTCTTAACATTCATTGATGCTGGCTTTATTGAGGTAAACTAGATGACATATATTGTTACTTTATTTGTTAAGAATTTTAAACTCTTACAAATACTTCTTTCATTTTCTACTTCACTTATTTTAGGCTATAAGTGAAGTTGCATCGAGTGATAATACAATTTTGGCAATTCGAGCTACATTATTGATGGCGAATTTCATTTGGCTTGTAAGTGTGTAAATTATGAACGTTGAAATATTGTTTATTTTTTCGACATTTAGTGTAATGAACATTTACCAGAAGAGCAAAGTTTTCTTTTATTACCATTGATTATGGATATTGCTATTGCAGACGATGATAGTGTTAAACGAAGGTAATTCTATTCTGTTGTCAATCTTTTAATACAATCTATTAATTTAAAATAATCAATTTTTTTTTAGTTTTGCAAGAGAAACTGTTTTAAATATAAATGCATTGTTCGAATGGAAACAACGCACAAAAAATACCTATTCATTCCAGTTGGCACAAATGATTGAACATGCCCACCAATCACAATTCAATAATTTAAATCAAACAAATTATAATAGAAATATGTTAACAAACATTCTAGCCCCAGATGATTTAGTATGTAATTAAGCTTTTTACTTTTTATGTTGTACGAGAATCAAATTTAAACATAATTCGTATCAACGTCTTATTGATCAACGATTTTCTGACAAATAGAAACATAATTTTAACTAAGAGTCTACGAAAACTGAATGATTAAAGTTTGTGACAGATTTTTTACCAAATATCAGATATAAAATACATTGACAGATTAATCACAGACAATAATAGATTTAAACAGAAAACTCGTTTCTCATTTCTCAATACAGTTATACTAAATGAATTATGAAGCAACATGAACAGAAAATTACAAACAAAAGATTGTTACATGTTTTTCAAACTATTATATTGTCAGTTTTTATTATTGGTGTTAATTTGCGTGATCATTTTTCATACATATTCATTGTTTATTTTTAGTTGTCGGCAGAAAAATTAGATAATTGTCTGAAAGATACATACACATCACAAACAAACGATTTTCGATTATGGAACTGGGATTTAATTTTATCGTTACTCAAGGTATATGATCATTATAATCGACTAAATCATCTCACCTTTGTCAAGTAATACCATGTTTGGAATATAATTGCTTTCAGGTCTTTTTCAAACAAGTCGAACAAGTACAAGGCGACTTATATGAACGGTACATTGTCACCAATTATGGCTAGGCAAAGATGAAAGAAGTGTTTTTTTTTCCTTCATCTAGATTTTTGAATCAACTATGTAACTTTTTTAAACCAGAACAAAATGAATTTTGTGATATAAAATTAACTGATTCATTATCAAGTATAACATGCCGAAATCTTTTGGCATTTGCTGATTTGCTTGCTTATGCAAGATCATCACAAAACGATATAAAAGTAAACAGATTATGAATTAAGGTTAATTACTTATAGTTATATCATTTTTTCATCTAGTATATTGCTAGTAATATTGTACGAACTCTGCTGACAAGTATAAGTAATGCCTTACAACAAGTAAGAAACTATATTATTAACAATGTTCATTTTATGCAATTACTTTCTTCATTTTCTTTAGTCTATAAACGCAATAAAAGATGGAGGCATTCGTCCTATTATTAGTGATCATGATTTAAAGTCGACCAATAGTGTATATTATTATTTATTTATCGGAAGACTTAGCGGAACATCGATTGGAATGGAAGCAATAATTGAATGTGATATATTTAAACAGTACGAATTACACTAAATAACATCTCAGCATTCACTTAACATTGTGGATTATCCTGTAGTAATCAATAGTTTTCTCAACAACCTCATTAAGGAAAAAGATCTAACTTGCCTGTCTATAAAGATCTAACTTTGTGTGAGAAAACCAATAAAGTTCAATGGTGTAATCTTACATTCTAAATGATAGCTATGTTGAATTAAAATGTTTTTTGTTAACATCCAGAAGAAACTGAAAGCTTCTTGCTGCGACTTTTATATGATGTGTGAAATGTTCTCCTTTTTCTATTCTAGTTTAACTGACATGGTTACATCAGGCGATGAATTTACGACATCTGTGGTTGTTGCTTTGTCCGCATTTAATTATTATGCTGATAGTCCATGCAGACATTTTCTTTTACAAGCAATAAATTCTCCATGCACCGTAATATCTGTCACTTGTATAGTTATATTTTCAACAGATTATTAGATTTTTTCTTACTTAGGCGCTAAGATTGTATACAACAAGTTTACTTCGTATTATATTGCGTTGTAATACAAAAGAATTCGGACAATGGGGCATCGATGTTCTTTGCTCAAAATTATCCGATCCTAATCAAGGAGTTATTTTGGAAGCCGTTCGGGTACTTGATGAAGCATTAGAAGATAAAGTAAGACTTGTTGTTAACCGAATTACAATGTAATATTCTCTATATTTTCAAAAATTATTATCATATCATGTTCTTTTAGCAACTGGTCTATATGTTTTTAAAACAATGGCAAGCATTTACATTTATGAAAAATGAACCCATACTATCTTCTTATTATCATTTGGCTGGTAAATGTTTTTGATGTTGAATATTAAATTCATTATTTTTCTTTTTTTGTTTATTTAGGTGGTCGTTTGTGTTCTCTTCACTTTGAATTAAATGATGTGAAGCATGATTATCAACTCAAAATGATTAAAGATGAATTAGAACATTGGGATAATTATTTTAATTCTCATTATGTGACATTGATGGAAAATGTTCTATTTTCATCATACAGTGGTGGTGTTTTGTTAACAAATGATTATTTTGAAAGACGCAAATCATACTCGACATGTGGACAAAAACGTAAAATTATCGATGCTCTCGTACTACCACATATATATAGACAAATATGTTTCAATTATGAAGGATTTCTATATTTAAGAGCTAATTCGAATTTAGAAAAATATTGTCGTGACTTAAAACAAAATAAAACAAACTGTGTTAGTTTATCGGAGACAAAGTATATTAAAGAAGTTTTGTGGGCTTTAGCACATACAGCAAGCACAGATATAGGTTATCAATGGTTCATGGAGAAAGATTTGATACCAGATTTTTTAAGATTTGCTGAAGAATGTCAAAATTTATCGGTTAGAGGGTAAGCAGTGTATGTTAACAATTTTACATTAAGTAATAAATTATTTTATATTTTAGAACAGCGTTTTATGCAATTAGTTTAATTGCTTTAACACCTGATGGCGCTGTAACTTTAAAAAACTACGGTTGGGAAACATATCGTGTACGATCTCATTCTGTGCCATTGAATAATGCTCTAACTGATTCTTATCAACGTCGAATGTCTACAAGACTTAATACATTGCCATCATCACTAAGCAATCAAGCACATAAAAGTTTTTCTATGCAAGTCACTTCACCATCACCTCTCGCAACGTCAGCATCATCCTCGACATCAACGTTAAGTTCTAAACGTCCATCTTTGTCAATCGAAATACCAGGAATTCCAAGTGATTTGCTGTCATCTTCCCCGTTGGTGTTAACAAATGCATATCTCGATAATATGGATGTTAAATCAAAAAGATCAAACACTGTACCATCGACAATACCAATGAATACAATAAGTGAAAAAACAGATGTCAGACATAGTGAGAATAAAAATCGATGTCAAATAATGACAGAATTATAATTGTGATTGTTAATTTTTCAGTTGTGATTGCTGAAGAATCAAGTGTGCCGCCATCACCATTAACGAATTCAGCAGCGTTTGTCTTAGAGCCTAACGCAATTGTTTGTTTTAATGATGGATTAAATTCGGATTTAAATAATCCGACACGAGTTGTCGTACCGCTGCGTCGTTGTCACAGTATGGCACGTGAACTATATCCTCTGTCATCATATACGCGAGATAGCGGGATCTATAGTACTGGAACCGGCTATATAACAACAGCCACTGGTACCGGATCAATTTCAATACCATTGGATGATATTGATTTTTCAAGAAGTCCATCGTATGCATCGTATCAAACTGCACCATCAACAGAAGCACAAGCAACAGAGTCTTTACCATTAGAACGTTTTAGGCCGAGAAGTAAATCAGCACATCAATCGTTAGTTTATAGACAATCGCAAAAATTACAGAAAGTACCGGGTATGTTTATTGACTAAAGTCCTAATATAAAATTGACAATTATATACTTATGTACTTTTCTTTATTTTCAGAAGTGATACAAGCACTAAAAGCGCCAACAACTCGTGGTGGAAATACGGAATCGGCGCAAACGGATGAATTATTTCGTTCTCGTTTGCTACGTTGTAATTTTCTATTAAAACCAGATGCAGCTGGATACGAATACATGCGTTATGTTCAAAAAGTTAGCCATGGTACATATTCTCAAATAACAAAAAATAAAGAAATTAAACCAACAACAACAACAGCAAGAAAAAAAGATATGCAAACAAGACGAAGAGTCAATTCTTTATTATCTGTTGATGGATCATCATTTTCATCAGGCAATAATGATCATATTCAAACGCCAATTTTACATTTTCATCATCAATTTACTTCATCATTTTATAAACGAATATATGAACATGAAGAGCAAACAGTTTCAAATGAAGATAAGTATGTGAAGTCTATGAAAATAATGTATAGATTATTTTCTTGACTATTATATTTATAGTGAATCTAAATATTCTGAATTACGAGATATGGATGATGCTGATGAAGATGAAAATACGTGTTATCGTGGATTAGCTGTTCCAGTTGATATTAGACAAGTAGTGGAAGTATGATTTTAGTCTGAAACATATGCTCTCATAGATGATTAATATAAATTTCTTCTCTAGCTATCAGATGGTTATAATTTACCAGTAGAAACTTGGACAGATTTAGTTCGTTCACGGGCAAGCACAAATGCCGATTGTATTCGATCTCGTAGCAATACAAATGCTACAAATAATTCTGATGATTCAGGAGGTATAAAAGGATATTTTTCATTATCCCTAGTTGATAACGTATTACTTATTTTATTTATAGAATTTATTCCAATTATGTCATCACCAGTAATAATTGATCATCGTTCGCGTGTATGCATGGTGTGTACAAATTCACCACACGATGGTAACGTTGACATAATAAAATTTTATTTTATTAATTATTATTTTGATGATTTTCTAGATATAAATATTTCCTCACAATTTGGTTTTAATGAGATTAAATCATTGGCAAGTCGTATGATAGCTGGAATTCATATTGAAGAAGTTGAAAAAAAACTTTTAAGGTATTTTTCTTTTTTTTAATAGACATAACAAAATTAAAACAAGAAATAATTATTCGTTTTGTTCTACACTATTTTAGTTGGAAAGAGAGTAGTCCATTAATATTTGACGATATTTGTCTTTATTCGGAAATTTGTCGAATTTTATCGTCAAGTAGTGTTAGAGTGACAGCACAACGATTTCTTCACGACTTATTTTCCGATTGTCAATTTCAAAATGTAAATTTTAAAATTTTTTAATTTAATATGTATGTTGTTAAATATCTATTTTATTTCTAGTTTCGTCAACGTCGTTTACATCAACATTCCGAAACAATTGAAGAGATTGATGATGATGATGATGATGATGATGATGAATAAATTTAGCATAATACCATTTTTCAGTGAATCGTCATCATCATCACTTCAACGTTTTTTCTTATTTTATTTTTTTGTTTTGTAAAAGTGCAATTGTGCAATCTCTGTCAATCAAAAAACTGCACTATATATTTTATTTCACATATCACTGATACAGTATCTTCCGGTTCTATTTTTACCTCACTTTTGATCTTGGTGCATGTCTTCCATACATATAATAAATTTTATTTTTTTGATTATAGTCTTTCTTGTTTTTAATGGAATTTATTATGCATCATGATCGTACGATACTTCTTTTTTTTGTACAATGTCAAATATTCTTGTTTTGTTCACAGGCGTCTTTCTCCTTCAATATATTGTGTGTTTTTTTTTGTTTTAATGTAGACTGTTCAGTGAATGCAGTTGCAAACAGAACAGTAATTCTCTTTAATAAAAATCATTTGTTCTGTTTCTTTTTGGTTTAGTGGTTTAGTTAAACTGACTCAATATTTAAAATAGTCGAGAATTAGACTTCCATTTGGTGTCTTTATAAAATAAAAGATTAAAGAATCACATGAAAATGGAAGATTTTGGATTAACAGAAAGTTAAAGCGAAAAGAATTTGAAATTTATAGATGTTTTGATTTTGCATGAAGAATATATTAGTGATTTTTTTTTTTTGATTTTATTTAAAACTAACTCTTCATTCTATCTGTTGTGGTGTTTCATATTCCAAATGCAATAATATGTTTTTATTGACCTTTTGTCATACTCTTTTTTTCCACTATAACCATGTGAATTAAAGACAGTACTTCTTTCTACATCTGAGTTTATTTTTGTTTTGAATGTAATTTCTATTTCTAACTTTTTATTTCTAAAGTTTTCCCCTTTTGTTTGTAATACAAGATACAGTAGACGTCATAAGTCTCGCGCCACTTTTTTATTTTGACTCGTGTATTAAAACTACATAACATTAATTTAATTTGATTATATGTCTGTATAGTAGAGGTCGAGTACTATATATATATACACCTGTTTAATATGAAAAATCCTTGATTATAAAATGCAATAAAAAGAGACAAAGGTCAGTCCTAAGAAAAAAATGACATAAAAAAGACGAAATGATATTGTTGTTATAGGATACTTTCATGGACAGTCGACCACAAAAAATACAAAGTATTCAGAAAACTTCTCATTTTATCAGACTTTCTAGAGCTTTTTTCGCTGATCATTTTGGTAAAAAACATTTTGGATTTCATTGAGAAATGACGGTGTTATAGTCAAAATACTAAACACTGTTAAATATCGGATGTCCCAAAATGTTTGCAACATAGTTTGTTTTGGGAATATCTCTGCACAGGCAAATGACAAAATCTTGATTTTTTTTCAAAAGATGCGCCGTGAAAAGCTCTACAAAACTGTAAGAACAAATCCTTATTGACTTGTTCGCATGGTTTCTTCCATACTCGAAATGAAAAAATAATACATGATAGTGCTACTTCCCACCGTATTTAACATAATAAAAATGTTTGGAAGACTTATATTTTGCATGTATCTCGGCTTAAGAAAATGGTAGCACCTTGATTTTTTTTTCAAAAGGTGCGCCGTCGAAAGCTCTATAAAATCTGTATAAACAATTCCTATTGTAAAACAAAAACGTTTTCCAAACATTTTTATTATCATTTTGTCTTTTTTTATTTCATTTTTTTCTCATTACTGAACTTTGTTTTTTTTTTATTGTATTTTTATATTCAAGAGTTTTTCGTATTAAACAGGTGTATATATATATAGTACTCGACCTCTACTATACAGACATATAATCAAATTAAATTAATATTGTGTAGTTTTAATACACGAGTTAAAATAAAAAAGTGGCATGAGACTTATGACGTCTACTGTAGATAAGTAAAACGTTTTTTTTGTTTTGTTTTTTATTAAACAAATTTGTACTGTCAACTATTTTTGTGTGCCTTACAGAGTCTATTTGTATCATGGAAAGGAGGATAGAGTTAGAGCATTTTATATGTCAAATACTTTGACTATAATGATTGTTCCCTATGTAAAATTCAGTTGATGAGTCGCTGCTGTTTGTATTTATTTTAGCCAGACTTCTTATATACTAACTACACAGTATGACCAAGTGTTTTACGAATAGTTTCATCTTGAAACGTTAGCACACTGTACAGGATTATTATTACAGTAAACCATTTCATTAACATTTTTTTCAATTTTTCTCAAAAATTCATCTTAAATTTGTGTTTTAAAGGAAGAGTTAACCTTATTTTTTTTGGATAATGCATATGTGTTTTTTTCGAACAGTAAGAGATATTTTTATGACAAAATGGATCGATCATATGGAAAGTAGTGATCATTTTCGTTTGTATTTCATAAAGAGATGTAAACGTGTAAGTTACAAAAATAAAAACAATTCATTAAATTATAGGATGAAAACAGCAAAAGCCAAATTTCATACAGCTTTTCGTTACAATTACAAAAATAGTTAGATCTTCTCAAAAAAGTTATTTAAAATAACAGTTTTGTGTCTCAGTTTGAACGGCAAATATTACCTAGTTCTCAGTTTTCCGTCAACACAACAACAATCCATTTTTTAATCAATCAGACAGTTTCACATGACAGCACTCAAAAATATTTCCCCTTAAACTTAACTTTGGAATTTTATAAATATTTATTGAAAAAGGTGTATTTTAAACCCTTTTTTGCTTAATTTCGGTAGCACTATAGAGACTTCAATAATGGATTATCTAAAAAATCACTCTTGATTTAAAAAATTATTTTGTTATATTTATCATAATTATTTAAACGTGCTATCATTGATATTGACCATGAACAATAATTCAGGTTAACAGTTATATTTTCAGCTCATTTACAAATATTTCAAGGGCTTCTCTCCATCCTTTTGTGACTTTCTGTAGAAATATTGTCAAACGTAAACTGAAAATGACTAACTCTCATTTTCAAGACTAATTGATCGCGCAATGGGCATCGTTTTGTTTGTGTCTATCAAGATACCACGGTAACTTTATCCAATGGAGAATATTCTCCAGGTGTAGATTTTTTTCGCTTTATCATCTTTTTCTTGTCGAATTACACAAAATTTTAAAATAGCAAAAACCAAAATTTTTAGACATTTTTCCGTAGGTCTGCTATAACTCGGAAAGCGAACACTGACAGACAATCAGTTCAGTCTTAAAAGTTGAATCAGCTATGCAATTTTATCAGGACTGGATTAGATCTCATTAAAATCTATGCTCTGATTCAAAGATGAAAATACTGATCAGTTTATTCATCTCTGAATCTGATAACACAATCAGAACTGAGTTTTCTAAAAGTGGCAAGTTCAGATACTTCAGAACTGATTCCGATCAGATTTTCCGAGTATGAGTCATTAGGAGAAAAAGTTTCTTCTAAATAACAAAAACTTCTAAACTTTAAGCAGAATTTAGAAATAAACTGAAAATGATTAAATTTTTAAGAACAGTATTACTAAGAGTAGGAATTAATGATTATTACTAATAAAAGCGTTTCCACAGCGTCCACAGTCTCATGTGGTTTCTTGAATCAACCTTGAGAGTGCTGATAAGAATATTCAGTTCTGAATCAGTCAGAAGCAAATGAGAAAAAAAAAGCTGATCTAGACTCTGATCCAGTCTTGATAAACCTGTTTTTTAAGCTTTTAAGACCGAACTGATTATCTATCAGAGTTCGCTTTCCGAGTTATAGCAAACATACTGAAAAACGTCTAAAAATTTTGATTTTTGGTCTATTTTAAGATTTCCGTAATTTGACAAGAAAAAGATGATAAAGCGAAAAGAAATCTACGCCTGGAGAATATTCTCGATCGAATAAAATTATCGTGGTATCGTAATAGAACAATTTGAAAAACTGAGAGAAACTTGATAGTTAGAGACTTGGGACACAAACAAAAAGATGCCCATCGTTATCAGTTAGTCCTGAAAACGAGAATTAATCATTTTCAGTTTACGTCTGACAATATTTCTACGGAAAGTCACAAAAGGATGGAGAGAAGCCCTCCAGTATTTGAATAATCATTTTTATATTCTTATAAAAATAAGGATCTTCGGATAGATATTTTTGATAAAGTCGTAGCTCGATCTTCAAAGGAGAATAATCGTAAAAAGCTCATCCAGTAATTTCATAAATTTGTTTTTAAACTTTTACTTTATGGAATAGGAGTTTTATATTTTTAAAACACAGTTAGACGAAAAGCAGGATGGGGATTATCCCCATCTACTTTTCACATTATTGATTTTTGACATACGCTGAACTTCGAATGAATTCCATCAGTCAGTATGTTGTGGACTAGAAATAATTGACAACTTTTCGATACGGAGCTCGGACATATCAAGTGCCACATGAAATATAAAGAACACATGGCATCCTATCATGTTTTAACGTATGTAAAAGAATCGGAATGCTATAAAAATTAACAAACGAAATATAATACTTTGACTGTTGTTATTGTAGTACCATACATTATAGATTTTTCCAAGGTAGAAGGATGTAGTCGATTTGAGTATATATGTAGTTTGATTCTACATATTACAAGGGATTACTTCTTGTATTAGTAGCTTACTACTTTTCGTCACTGTCTTATACGAGAGATATTGTATGTATCATACGATCATTATACTGTTGAATACTGCTTTTTATTAAACAATTAGCAAACAAACATAGAAAAAAACACAAAAACGTTGCTTTTCAGATCAAAATTTAGGCACATTAAAAGACTACAAAAAAAAAATGAAGAGACACGCAGGAAAAGAAATCAACAAATATAACCTTACTTGTTATTAAACTATTCTTTCAACAGATCATTCGTTGTAATAAAACCCGGATTTGCATATTCTCGATATGTTCGTCGAGATGTTTTTGAACCATGAGTATTTGTTATAGGTGTACGAGTACGTGAATTTGGATCATATACATAAACCGGATCTTCTTTCCTATTAAAAGTTAATATAATTAAAATTAATTGTGGAATTGTGTATTTTTCACTCTCTGAGAACACGCACAAATGTTAGTGACTGCGATTAAATATAAACGAGCAGAATCACTCATAAAGGTAAACAACTGTTAGACGACCCACTATTATGTGCAATAGAAGATGAAGTGAGCAATGATTTGCCTTGATTGACTTTTCAAAGAAACCAGGTTGAGAAATAGTTATGTGCGTATTAAACTTAGCATCTGTGTTAAACTTTTAAGTAATAATTCTTATTTCTATTTACCGCTCGATTTTATAAACTCGTTTTTAAAATTCTTATTTCATTATCCCTGCAATTGAAACGCTGTTTAATATCATCTGAATTTCAGTCATCATTCTCAACTATTGCTGTCGTCAGATGACAACGGCTATTTTCTTTTATAATAACTTGTTGAACTGTCTCTCTTACCTTTTCGATCTATTCTTACAACACAAAAATATAATTAATATAATTATTAAGACAGATAAAAGAACAGCAATAGGTATAATCCAGGCCAACTAAATGAGAATGCATAAAGTTTAGAGATGTTTAAGGATCATTAATATTAATACATACATTAATCAGTGAAAAACTCGATCGTTGTTTAATTAAAATGACTGAAACACTAATATAACGTAAAATATCAACATTTTATCTCAGTTTAACCCTACTCACCTCTATCTTTGCATCTATTTCCTGCGAATCCATTAAAACATTGGCACGTAAATCCACCCATTTGGTTTTCGATACATGTTCCAGCCTGAGAACATGAATCCTTTTGACATGGACTAATAATTTCAATTTTAACTTCATTTTCACAACGATTGCCTGTATAATTGGATAAACAATTACAAATGAATCCACCACTCAATGTTTGTGTACATGTTCCACTGTTTTGACATGTTTCTGATGTGCATATCGGTATATTAATTACTTATATAAATAAAAACATGACAAATGAGATTTATGATGTATGATGCAACTACCAGACAACTACCTTTTTCACATGAGGCTCCCGCAAAGCCTTTTAAGCAAGAACATTCGAAATAGCCGTCGTGCGTCACCATACAAGTTGAATTATTTTTACATCGATTACGTGGACAAGCGAGATATTGTTCACAGTTTCTACCATGAAAAGCTTCTGTACATTGGCATTTATATTGCTGTTGTTGATCGTTCATCGTTACGGAACTGCACATCCCATTATTCATGCAAGGTTTAAATTGACACAGATCGGAAGAAAAATCTAGAGAAGCGGAGGAATCGCATGAACACCGAAAGAAACTAGGTTATAGGAAGTTTTTATACCACTCACTTTCTGAACATGTTGGACCAGTTCTATTTGGGGGACACGCACAATAAGAGCCAAGTTCCATTGGAATACATGTTGCTGACGCATCACAAGGATTACTGCTGCAAGTGTCAATCAGTGTACAACTTTATAAAATAAGAGAATAATAATAGCGTTAAAAGAGAATTACATTCGTTCTTTTGCCGCTTACTGTGTGCCAGAATATGGTTCCAAACAGCGACAATACGAATTTTGTTCAATTGTATTGTAGCATATTCCTCTGCCATTACAAATTGTACCCGGACAATATTTGCTAACATTACAATAGGGCTCTAATAATTGATTATCATTACACAAACAAATGTATCCATCTTGTACACTTAAGCAGACGCTATCAGCGTGTGGACATGGATTTGAATAACATGGGCCAATGGTGATATCACAATATTTTCCCATGTAACCAGGTGGACACGAACATTCAATATGACCCATATCTGTCATATAACATCTACCGCCATTCAAACAAAAACCTTCGTAGCATAGAGATGAACGATCACGAACTAGAAAGAAAAGTTAAAAGTCTATTACCAAGTTGACTTCAGCATACAGACACGTTACATTGTCTCGTTTGACAATGTCTTCCTGAATAGTTATTTGAACATAAACACGTATAATTTGAAGTGCCATTTTTCGCTATACATTGTCCATTGTTTTGACATGGAGACGATTGCAAACAAACATTAATTGGATCTACAAATTTATCAAGTATGATTCTACATACATAATAATACTTTCTCTCCTACATTACTTACCGCACTTTCCAACAATTTGTGGTTTTTGTTTATCAATCGTCCATGTATAACCATCAGCGCATGCGCATCGTTTTTCTTTGAAACAGACTAAACCCAATGTTGAATTGCAATCTTGATTTTTAACACACGGACTATGAAATATACCATAACGATTAATCATAGGAACAATTTCTAAACAAAAAAATGAGTCATGAAATTCGATATAATTTTAATTCAGTTGTTGTATTCACTTACCATTACAATACAAACCAGTATGCACTTGATCACACACACATTTGAAATTATTATCATTCACTCGGTAACATGTACTATTGACAGAACATAGATTTTGTTGACATGGATCATTTACTTCACATTGTAAGCCAATTTTATTTGATGGACATTTACAAGAAAAATTTGTTCCGTTTCTCAAACATGTTCCACCAAAATAACATGGCTGCGAAGCACAAGGGGAAATAAATTCACACATATTTCCATAGAATCTTGATTCATCACATCGACACATTGTTTTATTTTGACTAATTATGCATCGACCACCGTGATGACATCCACATTTCAATTCACAGCGTTCACCATGAAATTCCGATGGACACTTACAACTTAATGTTGTTAGTTGATGTGCATTACATTCACCACCGTTCAGACACGAACTATTTTGACACAAACATCCAAATGAACCATTAGAATAAGATAAGCATTGACCATATTGACAAACAGTTGACAGTCGACATGGATCAACTAATAAATAAAAAAATTTAACTACCAGTTACAATAATTGAAGATAGGTGCTTACTCACGGTGTTCACAATTTAATCCTAGTCGTCCTTGTTTACATTTGCACGTATATGTTTCATTCACCAAAGCTGTGTAAGTACTACTGCAGATACCATCAGCTTGACATGGATTGCTTTTGCATGGCGATGGAGAAAAAGTAAAACCATTTGACAGTGTAGAAGATAAACCAGCATATTGAGAATCTAAAATAAGAAGCTCTCATCATGTGGTTGTTATACTCTTGCTCTGACACAATTAATGTTCAAACTCGAAAAACACTTACTTATAATAGTTACTGTTAAGTTTGTTTGATAAACAGAATTACATAATTCTCCTCCGCATGTTTCATTTCTATTACCAGCACACAACCATGAACAGCAAGAAGATTGCTCTTGAGCATTTGAATAGTTATACACCACGCCACAATAACATTCGGTACTGAAATTAGAGCAAATTCAATTGGTCTAAAACAATCTTGTTCATGAAATTTGAATACCTGAATTGTACTGCTGCATAAAGAAATGCGTGCTCTGCACAATAATTCGTACACATCTCCACTGTCATAGAATTTGAAACAAACGGTTGTGATAGACCATTTAAAATGCGTTGATGACGTTTATCTTTATAACAGCCGATATACGTTACGGTTTGAATAGCTTAAAAGACACGTATAAATTATCTTCATGGTATGGATCAAATTAATCATAATATTTAATTGTTATTAGCAAGTAGTGACCGCCCGAAGAGAACATATAAAGTTTTCGGAGGGGTCCGTACGGGTCGGACCAAATATATTCTACGGTCCGGCCCGTAGAGTGTATAGAACGGATACTCAAAGAACAGCTAACTTCGTCAGCATCTTTTTTCCACATTTAATGTGAACGTTGCCTTTCGATATTTTACCGACCTTTTGGGAAAAAGGCTGGGCCCTCATGCGGACCCTCAAATGACAGCCCGGTCCAGTCCGACCCATAAACACGTTTTCAAAAAAGTCGGCTCGGCCCCTGCCGATCTTTGTTAGCAAGTGTGCCAGTGCCTTTTAGAACTATAATTTGTTCTTTTTGTAAATGTTCCAGTTTGGTAGAATTAACTAGAAGTTTCTGAACTTTTTATTGTACTACATAATGTCGTACCAAAACTTTAGAATAAGTATAATGCAATGCGAATAACTTTAAAATGAGAGTAGAGACAGCGTAGTTTCTTTCAAGTTGTCATAATTTTTAGATTTATTATATTTAATCGACTCGTGTAACTCTGTTTTAATATTATTCAATTACAATATTTCACGATCGTTATATAAGTGATGATGTTTGTCACTATCGTTCTCTATAATCTTCTCGCAAAGTTCATACCCTTGTTCATCCCCTGTAAATATATAAACGTCAGAAGAACGATTTGAAAAAGGTCATTTATGACTTTCCTTTTATATCTGTGTGTGTACAAATAAACAAACAAACAAAGTGTTGGGAGTGGTCAATCCCTTCATGCAGGTGCAGAAGTAAATTATTATTTTTTCATAATATGTATCAGCCTTGATGTTAATTGTAATTACTATGCATTCGACAAGATTAAACAGAAAGTTTAGGATTGATAAATATTCGAAGATCAGGAAAATGCTTCCTTCATTGTATGGTTCGACAAAAAGATTATTCGTCTCATTATTATAAAAAAACACATTAAAATTAGTGGGTTTTTTAGATAATAGAAAGCAATCAGCAACAGAGATGTGCACGGATACCGTTTTCGTACCCGTACCCGATCCGAAATATTTCTTTTCCACCCGTAACAGATCCGACCCGAGAACTTCGTATCCGTACCCGACCCGTATCCGACTTATGCCTAAAAATTTTCTCCTTTTCGTTTTCCGGCTAAAAACTTTTGTTTTTCGACTGGAGATGATAAATTATTATTACGTTCTGTTTTTAAGTAACTGTTTTTAAAAACTTCATGTATTTTAGCTAAAATCTTGTATTGTTTTTTCACTAAAATTTTGTGGTTCTCCACTGAAACCTTCCGATTTTGGGGGTAAATAAAAGGAAACGGAATCCATACCCGAACTGCTCTACTCGTACCCGACCCGATCCGAAGGTTGGATACGGATCGGGTTGCACATCTCTAAACAGCATGCTTCCCTTTTTTTCCTTCTTCATCAAACATTTATTTTAAAGCGAAGTAATTCTTTTATATTAGTGAATACCCACGTGGTTTTATGCAAAGCCAATACCTATGGAAACTATACTCTCTCTAATTTTCCACTAATTTGTCTCTCGTTGAAAAAACTGTTTGATGGAATCTATTATGTTTATTTGTTGACTCATTAGAATCATAGTTTGAAAATACAGATCAAAAACAGTATCTAGTCTTAGATCATAAAGTTAGAATAGATCTCTTTATACACATACTTATTGTGTCAATGTTTAATGAACATAATTGTTTTTTGTTTATTTCCGGATCTTCTATTGTATCTCTCACCTCCTCCCACTTTATATTTGTCATCATTGTTCAAAACATGTTCTTCTTTTTTCTTCTCTTCACAATGTAAACTATTTAACATTAAATTTCATAGACATGAGACGGATTAGTGTATCTCTCATTCTCTTTTCATCATCGTAACTGATCAAAACAAAAGTTGAAGACAGAATGTCTTTATACATAAACATATCAAAAATAATTATTGCTTCTTATCAAATCCCAAATTGTCTTAGCTCTCAACCTAACTGAAACAAGAACTGTTAGCAATTGAAACAGCAAAAATTAAAATACATTATAGCGAGTATATTATTTGAACTAGGTCTCTTGATTATCGGTTAGATCCAGTTGTGTTCGAATTATCCTAATCAAGTTTCATACTCATTCTTGCTCTAATAATGTATACACTTTGAATAAGTTTCTCATCTACGAAAAAAACTATAGATTGAAATAATTTTTTCCTTTTTTTTATATCACTTTCTGGAAGAAATATTGCTTCGTGCCGTTCTCTCGAAGAAGAGAAGTTTCCTATTTATATTTTGGACACATTTCATTTGAAACTCGATCAACAGTTTGATGAAAAAGTGAAAAAACTTTTTTATCACTCTACCTTGAATAAGTTGTATAAAAAATATAAAATATGATAATAGTCGATAGTATAAAAACGTCATTATAATATTATGATTTTAAAGTAGAATTTATTTCAGGAATAAAAGTGAGAATATCATGAAAATATTATATTAAAAAGTTTGAATAATACAAAAGAGAAGGTTCGAATAAGTTTTATCCGATGAAAAAAATCATATTTCTCAATCAACAAGTTCAAAAATACAAACTATTTTTTTTTGTTTTTGTTTTAACTGACATTTAGTATCATCTTCCCATTTGTTTCTTTTCTTATTTCCCTCTTCTTTCTACCTTTTCTCTTCTCTCTTATCGGTAGTGTCTCTCTCTCTCTCTCTCTCTCTCTCTTTTGTTGCTGTTAATCTCTACATTTTTAATCTTTTAAATATGAGAGATGAATATAAATAGTTGCTACAGCAATCAATAAATAACAATAACGATAATTCACAACGTAGGACCATAGTTAAGTAGAATGTGTGATGAAATAATTATCTTGTATAGACAACAAAAAAAAAGAATAAAAACTAAGAATGAGAAAAAATGTTGTCACGTTTGAGAAATAAGACCTCCTCTTTGAGTTTTACTGTGATAAAGTAGACTTGAAGTTTCTGCTCGGTAATGCTTAAATGATAACCTAAAAGAGCAAGAAAATTGTTGAATATCAAGAATATAGTCGACATCTAAGACAGTTTTTGTCTGAAATGAACAATAAGCATCTTTTTTTCAAAAATCTTATGAAAATCATATTTTTTTTGATGATGTAGCTCCACTTTCAAGTTCGTTCGTTCGATCTTCAATATTAAAAGAAGTGCTTAGTGAACAGATATGATATATTTCATTTTTTACTCACGATTTTTTTAGCCTGTATAAACTTGCACACACAAAAATCATTTAAGTATCGTTGATGGTAATTCAAATACTTTTCATTCAAATTTTTATTAAGGATAATCTAATAAGATGAACGCGCCACATCAAAACGTTGCTGATGTTTTTAGATTGAATCAATCTAATAAATATTAATTTCATAAAAATATTTATGTTATTAATAGGATGATATATATATATATAAGAGACGTAACAAGAAAAAGTTGAAGGATATTGTACGATGTGCGTAGATGTTGAACACTCGTACGATAATTCTTTTCGTAAAAGAAACGAAAGATTTTTTTTTAATCCTGTTTAAATCATCTCATGCTACTATCCGAAAAGCATGTAGAAATCCTCTCATCAACTTATCACTCATTAAAACTATTTGTAATGTTAAATGTTTCTAAAAGACCACGGAGTTTTGGGCAAACTATGTTGTCTAGCAATATCGATTTTTTTCACAGAAATCTACTATAGACGACACGAACAAAACGGTTATAAATTCGAAGAAAAAAGAGATAGAGTACCTACAAGCGCAATTATTAAATAAAAAACTTTTTAATCTAACAACTAAACGGTGATTAGAACGAAAATAACAATACCTTGTGTATTCATCAATAAATAACAAGTGACATAGTTCTGTTATGTTTCGTTTTATTTCGGTGTCGTTACTCTTATTCAATAATAATTTGTTGGATTTTATTTAGCAGATCGTCATCGGTAGATTGATTCAACCATTTTTTTTGTATTTTTCGGTCAATAGTAGAGGTAGGACAGTTCTAGTTCAGTTCTTTTCAAAAAATTAAAAATTGAAATAAAATCGGTAAACCTACTTACATTGACTTTGTATAGTGCGCCAGAGGTAGATGGTATGTTTAGTTGACTAAACCAAGTCAATATAACTAGCTACATCGGTTTTATTGTATTTTGAATTCTTGAAAAGAACTGGTAACCAGTTCCGGTTCAATAGGAACTGAACTAGTGACCAGTTCTTAGGAACTATAGGAACTATCCCCCCCCTTAGTCAATAGTCTTTTCAAATTTTCATGAGTTGATTTCAGGTCTTAAACTGTTCAGATTAATAGCACTTAAAATAGCAAGAATAATATTTTAACTGTAGAAAATGGAATTATGACTTTTATATCCTTTTTTCCATAACCGATACTATGTAAGATAGAACTTAACACTAGTAAAATGTCAGATAGAAGTTCAACGTTAATGTCTCATAAAATACTGTAAACAATTGTAATATAATTTTGATTTTGTTCAAAATATCAAACATGTTTGCAAATAAGTTTTAAATAAATTATTTATATATTTCATTTTAAAACTATTAATATATTGTTATTATAGAAAATCAAACTATCCATAGATTTTGTGATTCTAAGTGAAGCGAATTGAGTGAACAACGGTATAGTAGAGATGCATTATAATTACAGAAGTCCATCAGATACAATCGTGCAATAAACTAACAGTTCATATTTCTGATACGATTTTGAACAAAAGATACTAGAAATGCCATTTCAATGCTAAGTTTCATTTGTTTGACGATTTTCTCTAAATTGACTTTTGTAATATATTTCTAATCAAAATTGGTTGTCATTTCTAAGTTTTTTCAAAAGAACATGAAATCGATTGCGTTTTTCTTTTACCAGAAATTTGTCAACAACAAATGTGTTGTTTGAACAATTTGTTTTTATGTTTGAACTGAATCGGACAGAAAAAAATATTTGTGCAATACAACCATTAGGTTTGCTGTTCGAAAAATGTCAAAGTTATATAAAAAATATCTTGGCGCCAGCCATATTTGAGTCGTATACTAATTCAGAAAGTGTTTATGAGTGTTCTGAAAAGGATGCATCTCATGCTACTATTACATGTAATCCTTTATATATCGACACCTGTAGACTTGAAGTCTTCTAATATTGATTCTTCTTCTTCTTCATTACTGTTGGATTCTGATTATTGCAGTCAACAGCGTCCGTTATCATCTAAAACCATTGTTCTACCAAAGAAATGTTCATCGTGGCAAGATTATTGTTGTACTGATGTTACAAACAGTGAACAAAATGATACCCACTCATCTTTCAACAATCATTCCATACCAAAACTTGAATTTCGAGCACAAACAATAACTATTCCATTTTATGCTCTAAAGATATTTTCATCTTTGTTTAATCGATCGCCAAACAGTTCCAATGTTCAATTGGAAATGAAGATTGTCAAAACATGTCGAAAAAATATCCTCTGTTCAGAACCCGATTGCTTAGTTAATCGTTGTTCAACTAAATGGACTGTAGAGTATAGTCGACTTGATGGTCACCATTTTAGCCCGTGGAATTGTCATACATGTGTACATACAAATCATTGGAGACAATGCGAACAAATATGTGCAAAATGTTCACAATGTATTGCCTATGATTTTATGATGAGAGGTAGTTTTTGCAAATAATCATGATTTTATATACGAGAAAATTCTCCAACCGACACACAGTACTGAAGAGTAGAGAATTTTTCAAATTTTTCCCAGGTGTACTAAAAGGTCAATGTCGGCTATTCTACAATGTGACCAATGATAATGTGATGATGAATCCGCAAGCAAAATCAGCCAGAAAAATTCGTATTCGATGTAATGGTGATTTACAGATAAATGTTGCTTATCAAGACGATGGTGAATTGTACAATTTAACATCAAATATTCTCAGAGATATAAGAAATGACGATGACAGAGCATCGTTAGTGAAGTATGTGAAGATCGAAGTACCTATTGACACAAGTATGACAAAACAAAACGACGACATGGCATCAAGTCATGAATTAATCAAAGGTATTAATATTAATGAATCTAATCTGTAGAGATGAGCGAGTACGAATCTGACGATGTTCATACTTGGGAATCTTTTTTAAAAGATACTCGATAAAACTCTCGAGTATTTTAACTCTCAAGTTTTTTTCTTTTATTAAATACGAACTACAGCGCTTTTTTCTTTCAAACGTAACACTCATACGTAGTTAAGTGAAGTTTTATTTCTGAACGCTCAAAACTTTAAGGATGTCTAATTCAAATAATGATTCTGTATGTGGAAACAAATATACTGGTCTAAGAAGAAAATGAAGACTTCGAAGAATTGCATGATGACATAAAATTCTATGTCTAACTAAAATGCCAAGTTGCACCATTCGTTAGCATTTGTAGTCAAATAGTATTCCTTTATGCGTCATGTACTTGAACTCTAGAAGTGTGCAATGTAGGACATTTTGAGGCAACTCTACTACAGAAATATTTGAACACGTTAACATCACTTAACATATGAATTTTATTCAATATACGAAGCCTAGATGAATGACATATACTGCGATTTACTCTCCCCATGGTATTGTATCCACCTATAGTGTAGAACAGAATAGTAATGCATATCGTGTCTGTACTCACGCCCGCATCTAGGATTTAGTTACCAAAATTTACTAATTACTGGTCAAAATTTTAAGCTGTGCTTTCTTCACTTTGTACGTATACTTTGGTTGAACAAAATTTTTCTCTTTTTTAAATGATCGAATGTCAAATCGAAAACAAGCTTCGATTAATAAATATTATAATCAACCAAAATTACCATCAATAAACAAAAATAAAGATAAAATTGCTGATGGTTGTAACGATTTTTTTAACTTATCACTCGATCTTCAAGAAAAACTAAAAATTATCGGATTGAAGCCAAGCAGTGTCGCCAAATTCTGTTTGTATAATTGGAATCGTAATGATTATATATTTCAAATACACGATGGATTGAAAACTTATAACTCTACTGATGGTCAAAATACAAATTGGCCACCCGCTAATAATCGAAATTCATATGCGCTTTCATTTGTGAGACGATCAAATACTTGTCCCACTAATATAATTAAAGGAAGTTCAAAAAAGTCAATCGATGAAGCGTTTGAATGTTTAAGGTACGAGTTTTTCATTTCTTTTCGGTAAGTCTATGATATGTCTCAAATGTTGAGAAGAAATTACTATGGAAGAAAATTGTCTTCTTTAATGAGCTCTTGTTTTAAGACGAAAAATGCATCCAGTCACCATTGGTAGTCAACGTACATATGACAACTGTAAAGTAAAACATTCATATTCTCAACCGATAAAAACAATATCGATTCGTGCCACATTTCTATTTCATAATATCGATTTAACCAACATAATGAGAAAGAAAACCAAACGATCTAACAATGAACTATTATTAAGAACTGTTAATGTTGCTTGTGTATTCTCTTCAACATTACCGTTGTGTAGCTATCATCAATTAGTAAAACCAAATTCTATTGAACTACAATTTATCTATCGTTTAGAACAAAAATTAAGACTACACGCTAAAGTTTGTTTAGATGATTTAGATCATATCCGTTTGTCGAGAGATTTACATATTGAAGGTGAACATATGCTATGATCATGTGATTATAACCATAATGAATATCAGCACGTATTTCTTTTAGGTAGACGTAATATAAACAATCAATTCACTGGTCGATTGACAACAGATATTCAATTTGTATTTCATCGTAGAAAATTTCTTGTTTTCAATGAAAATTTATTAGATAAAGATCTTCTCTCATTTCCTGTTATTGATCGATTAATTCGAAATTCATTTGACCCACAAGGTGTATTTGAACATTTGGAGCAAAGTCAGCAACGAGCAGACATTACTTCTTTAACGTATGACATTGATGTTGATACCAATAGTCATAAATATAAAAAACGACAACGACCTCAATCATCACAGATAATGAACAACTGGCAAACACCTTTCTTTCATTTACAATTGCAAAAATTGCAAACAATATTGGGTGGTAGTTGTGTATGTCTAGTACAATACGAATTATCCAAATTTAATCGAAATAAACGTATTATTAGAAAACTACATTCAAATATGAACTATCAACAATGTGAAGAAATTGGCCGATTATTTAAATTTCAGAACAATATAAATAGAAAAAATACCAAATATTTTCTAGTTAAACGAAGTTTACATCATTCTAAAACACTTCCTCATTTAACGACAGAAAACAAACATAAAAGTACAAACATCCAACCTAGCCTTTTTTTTATAAATTTCCTCAATTACATGTGTTTTAGTAAATGCTGCCCGCTCATCAATTAATCATCGTTCATTTCGAGATTGTTCTTGTAAAAAAAATATTATTTGTCAACCATTTCATCAAAAGAATAACTTTTATATGGCTGAAGATGTAGATGATACACATGATTATCCAGATGAAGATGAGGAGAAGTCTGAGATTTTTCCAATCGACAATAAACACGTACAATCAGAAGATGAACTTACACTACCATGGGATTATCATCAACATCTTGTTACACAGAAGTATATATCTAGGAAAAGTGACTATCATGAAAACATTGATCGATATAATCACAATAGACACAAATGGAACTCATTTCAAACACCAGATCAACACTATTCACCAGATGAGTATTGGAACAATTTTAGTAAGATAATGGTAGCTAAATCATCTTTAGCAAGTTGTATGTGTTTGTTTTTTTTACAATTATAGTCCATGAGTATATACCATCGCCTAAAAAAACACACCGTCGAATAAGTCGTTCAGTTTCGTCTTTATTATCAACTTCGTACCATCCAATAACTATTCATGCTTATATAAACTCGTTCAAAGAATGGACAAATAAACATTTTCGAGCAAGACGATTATCTGTTTACTCATCAGTAATAGATCAAATCGAACCTGATTCACTATTACCATTAAAACATTTAAAATATGCTGTTCTTTCAAATAATGATCTTCAGGAATTACCTGATGAATTGTTTATACCTGTCCGAAAAACCTTGATATGGATGGATTTTTCTCATAATAAACTCACTCGATTGCCACGTTCATTAAATCTTTTAAAACAGTTACAAATTTTAATTTTAACCGATAATGCATTAAGGTCAATTGATTCACAACCATTTTTAAAATTAAATCATATGAGATTGTTAGATATCAGAGATAATCCCATTCAATGTCAAGATTGCAAAGCTGACTGGCTAAAATTAATGCATTTAGGAGCCTATGCTAGACTAAACGTAGCTAGAACGATAAATCTAAAGAAAATAAATAAAATCCATCGACAATCTAATCGAGACGATTGCGAATCGGGGTGTCAACGAGATGGAAATCAAGAGCAAATACATCGTGAGAACATATATAATCAACATCGTCAGCAGAAACAAAAAACAACTATCGATTTGACAAGGATTCCATCCATGCCTTCGGTAAGTTTTACTCTAACTAGTTTAGTTCAGTTCAGGCCAATGTAAATACGTTTTTTATCATTGTTTGACTCTTATTTTCTCTTTAAAGTTTCGTATTATTGGTGGTTGCATTAATGATGCTAGAACATCCGTTAATGACAGTAATAACCAGTATATGTCGGTGTTATCAAAATTATGCATGAACTGTCGCAGTAATTTATGTGATTTAAATTCTCAATGTGTTCAAGAAGACACTTCACATCGTCTAGATGGCCAAAATCAATTTCATTGTTTATGTAAACAACCGTATCGTATGATACCAAACACTCAAAGGTGTCAACGACCCGATCAATCTGAAACAACAATAGAAAACTTAGCTTGTGGACACCAATGTAATCATGGAAAATGTGTTCTAACCCTAGGTGGAGTTTGTCAATGTGATCCTGGATATTTTGGATTAAAATGTGATAAAAAAGCGTCAACTTGCGCCGATTTACCATGTCAGCGAGGCTATTGTGTTGTTCAGCACAGCAAAGTGGCATGTATGTGTCCATCAGGTTATACGGGTAAGTCAAAGGGATAGAAGATAGTCATCATTTTTATTTATTCATTCATCGACTTTTAGGCACATTGTGTGAACAGAGAATGACGCTCTTCCACAAGTCGAATGCATCATCGTCGACCGTTTATTGTATAATTGAGCGATGTTTAACAGTCTGGTGTGATAATAATCTTAATCGTATGAAAAAATGTGAAAGTAAAAGTCTTGAACAATCACTCAATAATGATTGTAAATCGTTACTTGATCCTTGCATAAACAAGAAATGTATTCAAGGTTATCTAGTTTATAATCAACAACCAATGTCAATAACAGAAAATCAATATGAGTGTGTATGTCGCAGTGGTTGGACGGGGAAATCGTGTGACAGAACCGCCTGGGATGTGTTGAATGATGAAGATTTTGATGGTAAGTCTTTATCTATAATCAAGGTAAGATATTTTCATCGAACCTACGTAAACAACCATCCATATTTCAGATGAAGATGAAGATGAAGAATACATTAGCCAAAGAGACTATAATCTAATGTTTGCACAACAACAACGATTGTTCACAACGCCAGATAGATTTTTAATGACACCACCACAACAGTTTCAAGGATACGATTTTCAACAGCAACTACAAAAACCAATCGTGGCAAGTCAAACAGCATTACAATCTCCCACCATTATTCATGTAGCTGATTTACCAAGTGGGACAAATAGTGATGTGTTTATTAAGTTATTAAGTAAACTGCTAAATGCAAAAATTGTGGAATTAGATGGCATCAAACAACCAAAACAAAAAATATATAAAAATGGCAAAGGCTCCAGTGAGTTGTTTTTTACCATAAAAGTTATTGAAGATTTTCAACATCTTTCTGTCACCTAAGCAACTACAGTGCTCTGTAAAAGTTTATTCATTCCGTGTAACTGAACAACCATGATAGCTAATCTTATGCTGATCATTCAAGAAGATTCATCTGATTTGGGTACATGATTCTCACCATATCCTGGCATATCACAATATTATTCGTCTTTCACGAAAAAATCTTTTGATCCAAGAAGTGGAATTTCCTTGCAGCAGAATGTAGCTGTCGATAATGAAAATTTCACGGGTTGACTCCTAGCAGTTAAAAGATTTCGTAAGATCATATAATCTTTTCATCATATTTTCGAGCATAGGAAGGACTCTGACGCCCTTAGGAACGTGTCTAACCACGTTTCTTATAGCCATGCGGTTTATTTGTGTTCCGCTGATGAGTAAAGTTGAAGGAAGAAAACTATTCTAAGTTTTATTATGAGAACTATGTTATGTATATACTATATATCGTAGCAAAATAAATTATCACTTCTTCGTATCGATCATCAAGATCATATCAAATCGTATGATCTTGTGATAAGAACTAAATATGAGTAAACGCTCTTATTGACAAGATCTTGCAAGATCATATGATTTCTTGTTACAAGATCTTAACATTGTTTATAAGCTGATCTTGTAAGACCTTACGACAACAACTTACAAGATTCCGCAAGATCATACGTGATCTTGGGATAGGATCTTACAAGGCTTTGCCAAAAAACCTTATAGCAAGATTGCATAAGAAATCATCAGATCTGGTAAGATGCCTTTCACCTGGGTAGGTATCGTCTTAAAACAACCGTTTGACTTGAGATTTCGGAACACAGTCTCTGATGTTTACAGATTATTCATACAAAGTTTCCGAATTAAGTAGGACACGAGTTAGAATTTGCGACAAATGTAGATAAGCGATAGTCAATCATCTTTAATGCAACAAGCTTGAGGAGCTATCGGTCACTATGATATAAAAATCTTGGATTTTCAGCATATGACGAAGTCTATATTCACACAAAAACTTCAAACTGTTGGCTATCTCGGATGCTTTTACTCTTACAGAATGCTATAAAAAACTCCTCTCATCGTTTGACTGTGCAAGGGGAATTTTCTTGCAAAAAGCTACCACCCAGATCCATGAAGACGGTGTTATTAACAGGCCGTTAACTGCCGGTTAACGGATCATTTCTAGACCTCGAAGACCGCTTAACTGGCGGCGTACAGTAGTATTTTTAGCCGTTGTACAGTCAAAAAACAGTCCGTTTACACTCTTTTTCCAGACTAGACTGTCTTTTCACCGATAACGGACTGTTCTATGAGCATTTTATATGAAGAAGTTTTATTTTTGAATTCGTATACTACCAAAGAAACCAAAATAAAAAGAGCTAAATGACTTGTCGACAAAACAGTCAAAAAACGATTCGTACAATATGGACGTTCGGTCACTCCAGTGAACGGTCTGTTTTACCGTTAATTGTCGTTCTTGAAACTGGCAGCTTATGATAACATTAACGGATCGTCCTGTACACCATTTATACACTGTTAATCGCCCGTGAACTGGCCTTTAATGGACTAGTAAAATGATCTGGACAGCATCAACTACTAATTTAGTTATATTTAGACGAAATAAAGTCGGATTTTTATCATTATAATCGTCATACTCGAGCGACACAAGACAAAACGAGAAAAATTGAAACAGAACTGATAAATGAGAAACAAAACAAAGAAAATGAAAAGCAAAAAGCTCTAAAAAAAGAATTTGAAACAGAAAAGATGGCAAAAGAAAATTTAAACCAATCTATAGCGCCGAATACAATGTCAATGATGCTCTCTCCTATTCCTATAGAAAAATATCAAGTACTTATGAATTCTGCTGCTACTGTCGTCGATGATCTTTCCTATCGAGAAAGGCTGAATTCTAAACCTCTTTCAACATCAGCCGTCATAGATTTTTCAGATGACAGTGACACAGTTTCAACATCGAATAAGTTTCGCTTAACATCAGTTGTGCTTACTGTTAGTCTGATAACATTATTTTTATTAATTATTGTCTACACGACAATGTGTTACGTGTCAGACTCTGGACCGATTCAAGATTGTGGATTTCCTTTGATAAAAAAGTATGTTTTATTAAAAAATTGTTCTAGCTCTTATTATACGAGCGGAAGTGAAACAATAAAAGTTAAACCGGTCACAACTGTACTAAGAAATGCACATAGTGGACATGTTTGATTTCAAGATAAGTTTTGTGTACACTTTTTTTACGTAGAATTAATAGATATTAGTGATTACCCAAATCCTTTTATTACCTTAAAGTGCATTCCAACGTCTCGATGCGCATGAAGAAAGAAGAACATTTCGAGTGAATAAAGCAGCAAACATTCGTTAGTAACTATGTTTGAAAAACTGTACTGTATAAAAGAGTTAATTGTTCCACGCACTTTCAAGAAGAACACATCCAAAGACGTAGTGTAACCTATGGCGCTATCTATGCTGCCAATGATAATTCTTCTACCACTACACTTTGACATCAAAAGAAATTTTGAAATTTAAGTCTATCTATGTTCTTATTAAGCCTAATAGAACCAGGATATCGGTTCATAGCACAAAAATGTCGTCCTCTTATAGCAGACGATTATTGGTTCTCCATACATTACATTACTCAGAACTTCCTTTCTTTCTCTCTTACATCTCAATGTATTATACTGTTATGTCAAAAAAACGTGTGTGACCCGACACGACTTCGAATATCGTCTTTTGTGTTGATAACTGCTTACGTCTTTCGTACAAAAGTTGTTGCTGAAAAATGTCTAATTCTCAAGGAGAAGTGGGCGAAGAAAATCAAAATAGCCCAAATAACTCAAATAATCCAATGGTGCAACGAATTTCCCTTGAGATTCGAGGTCGAGATCCATCGCAAGTAAGTAATCTCTTCGTGCAAACATAATAAGGTAGTTGAGTTTTATTACCTTTTGTATTTAGGTCAAAGAACTTGTTTTGGATAATTGTGGTCGATGTACAACATTACAAGGTTTAACAGACCAATTTTCAAATTTAAGAGTGTTAAGTGTCATTAATGTTGGGTTGACATCGTTGAAAAATTTTCCAAAACTACCAAAATTAAAAAAAGTAATTATTATTAAATGGGCTTTTTGAATTTTTTACATCAAAATATTAACATTCCTCGACGACTTAGCTTATTACTTCACATAATGCAACATTCTAAAAATCTTACCTGTCTGTATATTGATTTGTCTTTTATTTAGCTTTATTTAAGCGATAATCGTTTGACTAATGGTTTAGAGAATTTAGAAGGTTGTCCAAATTTGTCATTGTTAGTGTTGGCTGGAAACAAATTTAAATCAATTGATGATTTAAAACCACTGGTAAGCTGTTTTGTTTGCTACATTGTTTGATCAGTATTCATGTCTGTCTTATAGACGAAATTACCGAAATTGTTAATAGTTGATCTTATGAATTGTGAAGTGACCCAGTCAGATGGTTATCCCGACAATATGTTTGAACTATTACCACAGTTAAAATATTTGGATAATGTTGACAAAAATGGCGTCGAAGCGGAAGATGATGAAGAGTTGCTTGAGGATGAAGACGAAGGAAACGAAGAGGGTAATTATTGGATTTACAGTTGCTAATTTAAGAACAATTTTATTTTGTAAAGTAAATGAAATGTTCAGAAATTCTTCAGTTGATTTTATGAAGTTTAGATGAAGAAGAAGAAGATGGGGAGGAGGATGACGATGAAGAAGACGACGAAAAACCTGGTTTAGAGGCGTTGTACGATCACACGTTCGTAAGTAAAAGTGGATTTGTTTAAGAAATGAGCTATTCTTTTGTGATGGAGAATACAGATCCATATACCGGGTCATAATATTTTATAACACATGTTTAAGGGTACCCCTCCCCTCTTTTTGGGCTTTCCGTAGAAATGCTGTGAAATAAAAACTAAAAGTCGCTAGATCTCCGTATTTTCAGAACTGATCGGAAACTCAATGGAGCACTTTTTCGTTCTTGTTTCAAGTTTTTAACTATTGCCATTCACCAGTTTTTCATTGTGCCACATTACAACCCTCCTTAAATTTCATCCGATCGAGTTCAAAATTTTACCTTAGGTACTCAAGGTCATTCCGTAGAGGTAATTTTTGGGAAATTTTTTTGAGACCTTTCCTGATCGAGTTATAGGAAAAATACTGAAAATTAACTGTTTGTTTACAAACTACAATTTCTTCTATATTTGGTCTATTTTTTGTTCTAGGAAGAGGATGACGAAGAAGAGAGTGATTTTGATGAAGTCAGTGTGTTGCATTTTAATTTTTTATGTATTAAAATGGTTTTCTTTTTTTAATAATAGGATAAAGTTGATTCAGCTGATGAAGATGACGATGAATTGGACGAAGATTTAGATGAATCAGCTAATTCTGACTTGCAAAATTCAACTAATCCAATCGAAGGTACGTATAGAATTATTCGATGTTTAAAATTTTTAAGTGGTTCCATAAGATGCGTAAATTATGCTTTCTATGCACTATAAGATTTAGTATAGTCTACGGTATCTAGTATTTTGAGTAATTAGTTCATGATTATTTTCTTTTCAGAAATCTCTTCAACTACTACTACAACAACCACAATAATTGCAACATCGCCAGTGAAAGCAGGGCAAAAACGCAAAAGATCTCCAGCTAATGATGAAACTAATGGAGAAGAAAACGAAGATGAAGATGAAACAAATTTACGTAAACGTTAATCGATATATAAGAAACAATATTTTGTTTTTTAAGTAGAAAAACAATCAATTTGTGGCTGCTGTGCCTCGCTCTTTATTTCTTTCCTTCTAATTGTTTATTATTTTCATTCTATTGTTTATATTGTACAGACTGAAAGATTTTGTTATTTTACCAAAAAAAAAAATGATGAATAATAACAAAGATTTTATATACGCGTATGTCTTTATCTATTATTTTTTTTGTGCATGTTTTATTGACTTCATTTTGATAGATGAAACGGTCTGTTTTGTAATCGGTATAACCGGATGTTTGTGTGTATGCATGCTTGGCAAGTACCAATTTTCTTCCTAATTTTTCACTTGCAATTACATTTTTGTCAATGAAATATATGAGCGGTAGAAGAAAGAGTGGCCGCACCGTTTTCTTTGCGCTGCGCTATATTTTTTTTTTCTCTTTTTTGTTAGTTTAGAAAAAATTCTCTTTCTTTTTTGCTTGAAAAACATCAAATAGTAGAAATAACATCAACGTAACATTTATTTTTTTCTTTCGTCTTGATTGGTGGAAAAGATGACTTTACTTTGTTTGTTCATTATTTGTTTCTGTAAAGTATGTTCACAGTAAGGAATACATTAGTAGGACTAATTCGTTTTTATTAAAAATAAAAACGATAGTGATTTAGCTTTGAAACAATACGGAATAGACAATCGTGATGTGTACATAGATTATTTTTTGTGTTTGGTTTGTTTCTTTTTCTCCATAGAGAAGTAAACATTTATTTTTTCTTTTGTTTATTCTTGAACTTTTTGTGAAATAAAATATCAATCAGAAACAAGATCATATCCTATGAGTATGTCAACTTTGCATCCAGTGAAAGAATATATTTGCAGTTTGTATATGAAATTTTAAGCAATTACATATGGAAAAATGTAATAATTGTCCTGTTTTTCTCATTTTTCATACAAGTCAAAACATGTTTTCTAGTTTTTCATTCAGTTTATTGCCTTTACAATATCAATATTTTATGAGAAAATTTGATCGATTCGAACATGATGAAAGTGGAATAGAAGTGTACTCGATACACTGTTGTTTGTTTAATATTATTATCTATAGCGCAATAAATAGAATTTCAAAACTTTTATGTATTAATTAGAGCAAAATACGGCTACGACCATTATCCCAGCACATCAATTGTCTTAATGATAAGATTGATTTAATGCGCGGACATTATCTTCCTCGATAGTATTAATAGCGTTGGTAAAATTAGTTTTACAAACCGTAGTTATAAACAGTTAATCGAATGTACAACATTTATACAGAAAAAATGACACCACTACAACAGTTTCAAGTATACGATTTTCAACAGCAACTACAAAAACCAATCGTGGCTAATCAAACAGTATTACAATCTCCAGCCATTATTGATATAGCTGAAGTACCAAGCAATTTTTATTTTTAAGATATAAACGAAATTAGAACGACAAAAAAGTACAAGATTAAATGGCGTTAATCGAGACATATTTTAAAAGAAGCATAGCATCATCCCAAAAAATGATACATTACTTATAAAGTAAAAGAGAATTTTGCTGTTTATCTACTGATAATATATTGATTTTTCTTCTAATAAATTCTCCGGTTATATTCATGTTACGTAAAATTTGGACAGCGATAATGGCTCGGGTGCCGATACAGAAAAAGAATATTTATATAAAGTTTATCATGATGACCAGATACAGTTGCAATCATTTTAACTTTTGATTGATTATTCGGTATTTAAACTATTTCGAACAATTCAATATTATTGAGGAAAACTTTTAAGCTCGATGGAGTATAGTCTCAATGCCAATATTGATTATTAACCGGAAGTGGTCAGTTGGAGAGGAAAGACTGTACTTTCTTTTTCTCTCTCTCTCATATGTGTTATTACGTTCTTACAGAACAAAACAACCATGAACACTTGTTTAACGCCAACAACTAAATGTATCCTGTGAATACTTCAGCTCGTTTCCTCTTTATGTTTTAGCATAATGGTGTATAAGTGTTCTTATGGTGACCATTACATTAGATATGCATTGAGCGAACATCGATTTTAAGTTATGACTATAGATGAACAATGGTAAAAAATGAGTTTATGGTATTTTAGATGATTATATAATCTGTATTTAATTTTTTAAATATCTTTTAATCGAAAAAGTCATAGAAATCTGCTTTTGTGGCTCATTCATACGACTGCGGTGCTCACAAGGTATTGTTTACGTGTCTGAATATTGCTTCGTTAAAACAGTACAAATATCGATCTGGTAGTTGTACAGTTAATAACGGTCAAATATGAACGATAACGACCGTTTTACATAAAATATTTCTGAGATGGCTGAGATTTGAATGTCTACCTTCACGTGAACAAAGCGGCTGCACTTTGTTTGATTTGATGAGATTTATGTACATATACGTTGAACGTACCTTCTGGAATGACAGGTATACATGTTCTTCAATTATCTCAACAACACTTATAGAACTGCAGTCTTTCCACGATATTTCCAAACTTTAGTCGGTTTTCAAACTGCTTAACGTATTTTTCATGTTATTATTTCTAGCTGTATCGATGATGCCAGATGTTCTAGGTGATGTTGTTATATGTTTAATTGCTTTATTTAACTTTTTAGGCAATTCGCCCCTAACATGTTACAGCTCAGGCATTCAACCTTAAAGAGGCGTTACAAATATTGAGACAACCTAAGTATCAATGAAGATTGAATTATAGAATAAAGTCTAATAGCAAACCAAAAAAGTGTGTTTTCTCTTTTGCAGTTCACTTGTGTTCTTTGACAAGCGTCCTGTTCGTAAGTGTGGTATAAAGCGATCCTCTTAATGCACCAGGTGTATTTGTGGATGTTTATATGGTTTCTTTTGATTATCATTCAAATTAAAATATAAATGAACCTGATTTGTTGCCATTGAATTATTGATATTTAAAATTTTATTTGCTCTCTTTTGGTGTTAACTATTAATCTGCTCGAATGGATGATTTATTTCGTCATTTGTATCAGTATTTGGAATGATCTCTTCTTTATTAATACTGAGATCAGAAGGCAAGTACTCCTCACTGGCTACTCTTTTTTTGATCCTGATTTGATCCAGTCTGTTGCTCATAGAAAGGAGAAATGCTTACATCGGACATTCACAACCCGTTATGATCGTTTTGTGTGTAGTTTTAGATTAACAGATTAAGTAAATTCTTTCAATTATGAATTATGAGAAGATAAGTCTTAACTTAAGCGCATAACTAACGAAAGTGGTGATGTTGTCAAGACACTCGAAAATATTGGAAAGTTGTTAATATTCAATCGCCTAGATTTAGATAAATTTCTTAATCAAAGTAATCATTCAAATATGACTTCAACATTATGGCATCGAAAATTACAATCAAATATATTATTGTAAAACAAATAGTGAATGTATAAAAATTTTATGTAAGTCACAAAAGTCCATGGATAATATTCTGTCATGTATGATTTGGAAGCAATTAGTAGCAATTAGTAGCAATAAGTCAATGAAAAATTGAAAATGAAATAAAAGTTTTTATTGAAACATGCAAATACAGCAAGTTTCAGTTTAGTCGAAACGACCTGATTGTAGTGCACGCAACAGATAATTAGGTAAACATGGTAAAATATTATATCAGCATGTATTTAACAATATCATAATGAACATTACGAGTTTTTATGATATTTTAGCAAGTTATCATTATTTCTACGATTTATTATTTAAATATAAGATTTTTTTCTGTTAAAGTCAATCAGAACGTTTGTCCTTGTTGACATAGACTTTTGAAAAATAAATTAATATATAATGCACATGAAATAATAGAGTAAACTCATTAATCTATCATCGATTTAGCTTCATAGTAAGTTTAACTATATTTTCATACGTTGCTGTAATGAAATAGGCTAATTTTTGTGGACATTCATATTTTTCAATAAGAAAAAAAATAATTCCAATATATTTGAAGATAATATCAAATGATTTGAAAACAATTTTTTGAATAAATTGTCCATAACGATAGAGATAAGATTTTGATTGTGATGTTTTTGTTGTGTCAATTTTTGATGATGGTTCACGAAATATTTCTTGAAATTTTGTTATATAACGTTCTATAAATGTTAAATAATGATTAGATGACATTGATATGGATAGTAGAACTTGATTTGTACTCATTTGTTCGATCAAATATGGTGTATGATAAACGAATAACGCACTTATAATAATAATGAATAAAAACCAAAATATTGACAGTTTCCGTTGTATAACTACTTTCGTCTCATGCTTATGATGATTATCATATTCTTGTACAATTGATGTGATAATATCATTTTCTGCTGATTGACTACTGTTTGGTTTTTCGTTACTAAAAACATTTTCTGTCAACATAATGGTTGGTAATTGTTTATGAAATTTTTTCATACGTTTGATACGATGATAAATATCATTATTATTTATTGTTGAACTTTTAGTTGTTGTTGAATTTATTTCTAATTGAACATTAGGATAATTTCGTTTAATAGTACGTTTGGCTTTTAAAATTTTTTTTTGAATACTTATACCTTTTTTCTTCTCAAAATATTCGATTAGATTTCTAAATATTTTTGAATGGTCAATTGATTGTTGATTGTGAAGAAGAATATCTGCTACATATTTGTCATTTACAAAACCAGTATTTTCATTTTGTCGTTTATGATTATAATTTGTATTTAATGATTCAATTTTATTTGATAATGATGATGATGATGGAGTTGTAAATATATAAGATGTATTGTTTTTACTCGAACTTGAACAATCATCATGTTTTTGTTCACTATCAAACGATTGTGTAGACGATGTAATTATTTCGGATGATGTTGATGTTTGTTGTTGTCGTTGATGTTCATCTTTGTCAATACGTAGTAATCGTTTTATTAATTGATGAGGATAAATGTGTGATTCATCTGTTACGAGTGAATATGATCGAGGTGATGACGGTCGTCTTTCTTCTTCTGATTCAACACATTTCTCTAAAATACCTAGTGGATGATGTGCGTTCGTATTCTGTTCTGTTAATCGAGTTTTTAGAATTACTGAAGGATCTCGTATGTTACATTGAAATTGATTATGACTATCTAATCTAGTTTTTGTCGACACACGTTTATGTTCGATTCTATTCGTATTGATTTTATTGCTATTGGCTAATGAATGGTGCCTTAATATAGGCAAATTTCGATAACTAAACGATGACGATGATGTATGTGTACCGTTGACATCAAATTTTGTTTTCCACATTGTTTAAAGAAAAAGAACAACGACTAAATAAGAGACAAAATAAAATACAAATACTTAAAAAAAATATTTATTTTCTACTTTTTGAGGAGGGATAAAAGAATTGTTAATCCTTAGTAACAGCATCAGAGAAATTTATCTCAGTAATCAAACTACAAATAAATAAATTATGGGAAAAACGAATTTTTCTCTTTCTTCTGCTTATTTAACAATTTGATGGTGGATATCAAAAATCGAATAATAAAAATGTAGTTCGTGTCACTCAGGTGACATTGTGATGTTGTTTTCGGTGGAAAAATATGTCATTTTAATAACAGATCCGACTCGTATACCACACACACCATCATCAATCTGTCCGCGGTTCTACGAAAAATCATAAACAAAGGGATTGCTGAAAAAGCAGCACAATGCTGTCATCAGCAGTTATAATAGAATATCAATTTAGTCGGACAACGACATTAATCATGTTTAACTATACAGAACGGAAAGCAACATGCTGGAGATTTGCTGATAGATATAAATTTTCAAACATATGGATAAAAGTGTAAAAAATCGGATTACCTAGATGCATCGGGTCCAGCTCGCTGGACCTGCCTTAATCGATGTCCTCGTCGGTCTTAGAATAAATTCAGCAAGGGTGCAGTTTAAAAAGGAGATCCATGGCTCTAACGAAGTATAGAGGCATTAGCTCGATGAATATGTTTTACTCATTTATCGATTATCATTGAGTATCTCTTTCTGTGTTTGTTTTAGCTGGTTTCTTTGTAAACTATCTCCACAATATGACGGAGTGATGTGCGAATATTTTTTCTATTTAAATTACATACATTGGAACGAGTTGACCTGTTTCTACCACATGAAGCAAAAACGAACGCCTTGTCTTTTAATATGGTTTACTGTTGCAGAAATCTCTATATCTGCCATCGGTAGAAGACGTAGTATTCTATATTCACTCACACGAGCAAAAGTTGTAGGCTTTTTATCTTATTCGAAACAAAAATGTTACCTCTTTCGATTGATCTTGCATATTTACTGAATGGTTGTAAATAGAGTCATATGGAGTAATTATGATAACTGCTTGAAATTTCTTAAGTATTTTTTGGAAAGTTAAGTCATTTTTTATCGGAGAAAATCGATATTGCACAGGTGGAGAACTCTGATTCTCAGCTATCGACTAATGTAAAATTTTCCAAAAATTCATTAGCATTAATTAGTTCTAATCAGTTTCCAGTGAGGAATTATAATAAGTCAACCTGTATTCTAGAGATAATTATGTTGTCTTCAGTCTCACAATGTTCAGAATATCTTTGATAACAAAATTTCATCAAAAAACACAAGCAGCTTAACTCTTTAAGCCCCTAAGGCTTTAATGCTTGGTTTTGGATTAACCACGTATGAAAATGGAACATATGAGACCTCGATATGACTTTATCACGCTCGAAAAAAGCTATTTTTCATTTTTAAAAAAGTTAGGCTTTTCTAATTTAAATTTAAAATCAAAATTTGAACAAAACTATTTTTTCCAACATCGTTAGAAACCAAAGACCAAGCATATCCAAATTTAGACCATTAAGTTTGAGGAAATTGAGACAGAAAAGGAGCTCATATGGTGAAGGAAACCAAGAATGACTAAGAAAACGAGCCCAAAATTCCTGCAAAATATGACCTTTCGTTTTGAACCATCAGCAGCCTAACAGGTTAAACAATAATTTCTTCAGCTGACATAATTTGAAAGGGCACATCTTTCTACACTCAACACACTAGAAGAATACTTTAGGCATTAAGCACGCATCTACACGTTACTTTCAATCAGTGGCGGCGCAAGGTCAGTTTTTCAGGGGAAGCAATTGCTAACCCGTTGCTTGCTGGTGCGCCGCCACTGCTGCAAACGTATATGTAGGTTGATTTAGATAGTTTTGTTCTAGCAAATATACTGAAAAGCGCCAAAATTTTGAGGAACCAATAAAAGTTTATTGCTTCCCCCAAGTTTTTTTAGGGGAAGCAATTGCTAACCCGTTGCTTGCTGGTGCGCCGCCACTGCTTTCAATCGAATGCGATTATTC